CTTCATTATTTTATGAGTTATTAAACATCAAAAGGGATCCGGGACATTATAAACACCCTGTATAGTTAATTACTTTTGGTGCCGCTGATTACAGTCAAAAAGGGTTTGTTCTATGTGATTACAGAAAAGCCTCGAAGGCTATTTGCCTGAGAGGGGACGCCTTTATGGAGAACTTTCTAAGGGAAGCTAGCTCGTATGCACGTTAAACATGGGGAAAACCATGAAAATGCTCACCAGCAGACCCGTTCGCGGGATTCGAATCCCGCGAACAGACTGCCTGAGTATCGCCAGTAACTTTACCGCTGGTGGGCTGCAGTCAAGAAGGGAGGTGCCCAACTGCGTATTATAGTAGTCCCATACACAAATTTTCAATGTTCTGAGTTAACTCGTGTTTGAGTTATGCCAGATATATACATACGTACGTAAAGACTTCGTGAACAAATTTATTCTGAATCCATTTTTAAATCCATTTTAAATTCATTTTGGGGAAAAATGTCGTTCATTCAGCCCGTACTTACAGATGTCATGTAAAAACATCGTTCAAATGAATTCAGGAGCGGTCAAAATGGATAGTTTCGTTGAAATATGGTGCCCCAAATTTTCGCGATTCCTTTACTTCGTACAAGTGAAACTTCAGTAACTCTCATGGTCGAACGTGCGATAAAATTGAGAGAAAGTGAAGTGATTAAAACAACAACCAATTTTAGTAGCGTCAACCAAAAAGCGTAAATAGTTAACTAAAAGCAATAGATCGCGTACTACTTCATTACCCAATATTCGTATGCCGATATATATATATATGTGTATAATAAAAACTTGTAGTAAGCTGCAACGGACTGGCGATGGTTCTCTACATTATAACTTGAAGAGACTTTACTACATTATTAGAAAGATGACACTCGCGAAGTGAGACCAAATTAATTTAATGATAAATATATCTCTAAATGAAATTCGAGCATATAAGTTTAAACGAAATGCAGGAAAAAATGCGTACAATTTAATATTACGTACAAGGAAGTCATGTGGCGTACACATCAGATTTTTTTTATTTATGAAAAAATTTAATTGAAGAATTGTTAGATACGAGTATAAGGAAGATGCATGTTATACAAGATTTTTTATAAATATAAGGGCAGAGGAAAAAATACTTTGTGAGAAGAAGAATTATTTATTGCTTTTTTTTCTCACCGCAGACATATTCAGGCTTGTTCTGCGTAGCAATAAATCCATACAAACGCTTTCCTATCTACACTAACAGAGTGGTCCAAATGTATAAAGGAAAAAGGCGAGGAGAGATGCCACCTCATATATTTGCTGTTTCTGACGGAGCATATAATGACATGTTGCAAAGTAAGTACTTCGAATTATTAAATTTGCATATCAATACGTAATTTTAAAAGTAATGAATGCTAATCACGAAATTCATTTGCAATAAATTCTTTGGAATGTGAAAACACCTTTCACGTTAGAAACGTTTATTTTTCATGAGGCCTTTCTCATGAATAGTTCTTAATGTGTTGCTATTAGCCAAAGCATAAGATTTTAATTTATCTTTTAAAATCAATCAATATAAAATTTCTTAACAGTCTGACAGATTTATAAGAAATAAACTAACATGTTAACAACTAAAATTGTAATTTATTCATTTGATATTACCTTTTGCCTCTTTGCTTTTCCTGTGTTCTCCATAAAATTTATTTGTTAATGTTCAGAATGTTTTCATTCTCACAAAATATAAACTGGTAGAAGTTTTAAACTATGCTTCAATTAATTAAGTTGTACATTCTTTTATATTTCAGATCGTGAAAATCAGTCTATGTTGATTACGTAAGTATTTTTACTGCCCTATTTTTGGCATAAATTGTAACTGATTTTCAAAAAGATCATTTCTCAGATTTCTGCAGTTCTCATGTTATTCTGATTAACTTATTTTCTTTAAAACATATCACTTTTTAATTTTGATTATATTGAAATTGTTTTGAATGTTATTATTTTATTTGTCAGACCAAATCCCATACTAATTAGCTATCTAAAGCAATATTATTTAATAACTAACAATTTCATGGAATTCTTATATATTTAATGCCTTAAATATCGAACTTAACGCCAAAATGTAGGTTTTGAATAAGATAAGTTATACTATTTATTATAGTTATGTTATATCACTTACAGTGGGGAGTCTGGAGCCGGAAAAACAGAAAACACGAAAAAAGTTATTGCTTATTTTGCTAATGTGGGTGCTGTGTCAGCAAAATCAGCTAAGGAAAAGAAAGAAAAAGAAGCATCTTCAAAGAAGGTAAATTTGAAATGCATTATATTCCTAATTTCTTCTTCACTTTATAGGAAACAAATACTAAAAAACTTATTAACATTTAATCGTAATAAAATAAAAGAAATGTATACGACAATATTATTTAGTTTATCGCGTTATGAAAAAAATGGCGACATTTAGAGCGGCCAAATTGCGAACACCTGTTCTTCATCCGAACATGTTCACTTCGAAGCCTGAATTTCGAATTTGTTTTTCATTTATTTCATTCTTAGTGCGGATTCAATGACATTTCGATTAACAAACTTAACGATTTAAAAGCAAGGTGTTGCCACTCGGAAAACTGCAAGATACTTCTATTTAAATTTATTCAAGAAACTCAGCGATTTAAAAGAAATGTGATGTTACTGCACTGTAAGAAATATAAAAGCACTTTTATTCTTCACGCATCAGAGTGTTGCCATTCTGAAAAGTGTAAATAATTTAGTTTTTCTTTCAAGTTTAATCTGCGTGTTACTGATTAGCACACTAAACGATTTACAAGAAATAAATGCAATCCTCTCTCTCTGTTGCACATTTTACCTTGATTGTAGATTGTATCTTGATTTCTGTAACTTGTATTATGTTATAAGGTATTTCTCTCGCCTTCTTAGCATGCCTTCTTGGTGTAGTGGTCAACACACTCGGCGCCTGTCGAGAGGTCCGTGGTTTGAATCCCGGTGAGAGCAATGCTCATTTTTCACATCTCTTGCTTTGAAATAACCTAATGTCTCTATAATGTACTTCGATTACTTTATCTGATATTCTATCCGACACTCGTTCTGTCTGAGGATACTTGCATTATTCACTCTTTCGGCATTTGGACCTTTTGGTAACCCTCCTTTTTCTTCCCTTTCCCTCGTCTCCGATTTCTCTTTTGAGATTTCCCACGTCCAGAACTTATTACGTCATGTGCCGGGCTGTATTTCAGGAACCGGCATAATTGCTGTCAGCAATAGTTAGGTATCGTAGTCGTCGTCTTTCACTCTGTTATTATTAATTGTTTAGCCGGACCTGTGAAATTATACTACTTGGGCTCATTAAAATGTTCATATGTTTCCTTTATTTTATTTTTAGCGGTTGGCCGCGGAAGCAGCCAGTATGAGGAAAGTCAGGGAGTTTTTAAAACTTTATTTAACCATTAGTAAGATATTATATGATTGCAATAAAAGTTAGAGTTAAATTCAGGCAACTGAAAAATTTGGATATTATTAATATTACTCTTAATTTGTTGAAAATCAACTGCAACTTTTGATTTAAAAATTAATAAATTTACCTATTGAACATTTTGAATTTTTTACTTACTACGTTGCTTCCATAGATGTATGACATTAATAAATTTCGTAACGAATATAGTGTTAAAATTTATTTTCAGTAATTATGAAGTACATCACCTCAGTCTACTAATGTTTACATTCCACAAAAAATTGTCTTAAAGCCCTATCTTTCCTATTAAATTCTTTAAAACTAATAAATATTTTCCTATGTACAATGATTGAATGTGATTTTGAATCCAACTATTAATTTTCGAATATATGTCATTAAACGATAACGTGTTTTACAGGGTAATTTAGAGGACCAGGTTATTCAGACCAATCCAGTTCTAGAAGCTTTTGGAAACGCCAAAACTGTCAGGAATGATAACTCATCTCGATTTGTAAGTATTTACGTTGGAAGAATTTTATATTGAAATGTAAATTAATTACGGTAATTAATATTCAAGCAAAATTCAAAAGGAAATGTAGCGTTTTCCGGTATCAGTTTATCGGTATCGGTTTTTTAGTACCTAGGGGTATCAGTTTTTAGTATCTTCTGAAAAAACTTTTTTTTTTTATCATCGGTGTCGGAATGAATTTTTCTCTAATCTTTTTCTTTTAGTATATTCATATTAAATTAATCAGAAATGACAGAACAGTTCCTTTTTAGGGTAAATTCATCCGCATCCATTTTGGACCAATGGGCAAACTTGCTGGTGCTGACATTGAAACTTGTAAGTATAAGCATAAATGCATAAACTATTCGCTCTAGGTTTTATTCATATTCTAAAGTTTTACGTTTCTTAACAGATTTATTAGAAAAAGCACGTGTGATATCTCAACAGCCACTTGAACGTTCCTACCACATTTTTTATCAAATTATGTCTGGAAAAATTAAGAACTTGAAAGGTAAATTTTTTGATTAAATAATATTTTAGATTTTATTTACTGTTAAAATACCAAAACAAAATTACTGTTAATTTTAATTTTTTTAATAAATTCAATTACAGTTTAGATAAAATTAATTATACTTTAGTTTTTATCGTATGAGATAAATACCAGTTTAATTATTTTTACAATTCATAATTTTATAAATTCATTTTAGAAATTTACCCGTCTCTTATTTTAAAGCAGTTTTACTTTCTATTTTATTTTGAATATTAAACATTCGATAAATTCATTTAGTCTACTAATACAGTAAATAAAGATTACAATATTAAATCAGATAGATTACGAATATGTACATGCACATATATTTTACAGATAAGAAATTGGAAAAATTAATAATTATTATTATTAAAATTTTTGCAAGATGCTGCAAAAGTAATTTTATAATCAACATATTATTAACACGAAATTGAAATCTTACCACATGCAAAATACAGGACAAAAAATAAAATTTAAAAGACCAAAGCTGAAACAAAAGTAAGTCAATACAATAAAATTCATGCAATATTATTTTTTACTTAATGTTGCATGAATTTTGATGTATTGATTTTCTTTTGTTTTAACTTTGATTTAAAAAAAAAAAAAAAAAAACCGTTTTGCCTCTTCTATTAGGAGGTTTGCCACTATGGAAAGATTTGAATTTTGTGCTAATTATCTCTTGTATATTTGTATATTATGTGTATAAATGTTTAATAAAATTCAAAACTTGCATTTTCAGTTTTTTCTTTGAAGTAAAAATATTTTAGGTATAAGTAGTTACCTTAAGTCGTTTCATTTACTTATTTCGAAAAATGAAATTTAATTCAGTGATTCTTCAAATAAATAATTAGCTTTTTTTTTCTTTTTCTTTTTAGCTTCGCTCTGCATTGTAACTGGCTAAACTAGATAATCAATGAAAACTTTGTCATTATCTTAATCTTAAATGATAAAATTCATTTCAAACCGTTTAGGACGTTTTTTGATTTCGTTTGTTTTTATAACAAATTTCTATTATAAAACTATAAGAAATTTTAAAAAAAAGTCCAGCAGGGAAGTTGTCACTCTGATATTTTTATTATCTAGTTTAACCATCTTCTCTATACTCCAATTTACTATCTCTGATGCTACAAGCAATGCTGTTATTAAATGCTTTTTTTTTTTTTTTTCTTCTTCATTTGCTATAACAGAAAATCTGCTGCTCAGTGACGACATTCACGATTATCACTTCGTGTCCCAGGGTAAAATAGACATCCCAGGGGTTGATGATGCAGAGGAAATGCAGTTGACTGATGTGAGTACTATAAACACGACCAGCTGTAGTAGTAGATAGTTAATTAGCCCTTCCTGACCTAATTTCCCAATCTACCCACATTCCATCTGAAATCTTTTGTATCCTCCAAGTACCTTTCCTTTTTTCCCGTTGCCTTATAAATCCTCAAATCATAAGAGTATTAAAAAATCATTCTTCATGTCATTCCTTCCCCTTTCCTTCATTCCTCACTTCTAACTGAATACTTCAACATCGTCGATTGGATTTCGAATTTACGTTAAAGGAAGAGCGCATTCCATACTGAATCGGTTGTGGATACCAGAAGAAGCAATCGTTTTCAACTGCATTTTTTAATCCAGCATTTTCAAAATCTTTTGCACATTTGAATCAAGATTTTACATTATATTTTTTATTTTACGATATATTAACGACGCAGAATTTGAATCAAAAAATAAGATTTGATTTTTGAAGAGAAAAATCAAACTATAGTGTTCTAAAATTTATGAAAAGCATAAATTCAGAATTACAGTTTTAAATACCCAGCTAATTCACAAATAAACAAAAAAGGACTGTTGATATCTGAGTCATTATTAAGGTAAACAAGCAATCAAATATTCCTAGGATGAGCTTCTGAGCACTTTCGTAAGTGTTGAAACGCAGTTACCGAAAATAAAATTAAGAGGGAAAGAAAGCGATATCACTATTTTGGTTGTACACATAAGAATAAATTGTCTGAAAATTAATATCTGCTGTTATCTAAATCAAATACAATTAGTCAAGAGTCATTAATTGTATTTGCATAAGGAATCTTAGTAGCTTTTAAAATTCAACTTCCTTCTTTAATTTAAAAGAAAGAAATTAAATGCATGCGAAAACATGGAGAGGTCTGTTTTCATCAGGATCGAAACTCTATTGCTTTAATGCTGAGCTAAAGCATTTTAGCAAAGCTAATTATCTCTGTTCGTTTCTCTTCGCTTTGCAAATAATAAACTGCAATGCATTGAATTTTCGCTGTATGAGAGGTGTGCTTCATCTTTGCAGAATTATGTTACTTTTCATTCTGATAAATCTGAAAACTTAAGTATGTTTTATATCTATAAGCGTTAAGGAAAGGTTTTTTTATTAGAACTGAAATAGTCTCAGAATTTCGTCTGTATAAGTGAAAATGCAAGAATGGACCCAAAACGAAATTAATCCAAATATTCTTTGTTAGTACCCATTTTGTTCTAACTCATAGGTTAACAATTAGTTACAGTATGTGTTATCGGATTCTGCATGTTTTCCCAGCCAATCCTTAACCTTGTTCTTCGTTCAACCTTCCTCCCTTTACAGAAAAAGTCCTTCTTTCAAACAACGTCCACGATTATCACTTCGTATCTCAGGGTAAGACTGATATTCCCGGAGTAGATGATGGTGAGGACATGCTGGTAACTGACGTAAGTACTTAAACATTTGTTGCTTTTATGAAGAATTTATGTTCATGGGGTAAGTTCCGATTCACTGCATTAATGTATTTCCCATAAGAGTTGAAACAGAAACATTAAATTAAATTACTACCTTTGTATAATAATAAAATGAATCAGTAGTATTATTAAACCTCTAAGATTGAGAGAACTGCGATTACACTTTTTAATACATATTTTCTGATGTATATTTTTCATTAACTGTGATCTCAGCCAAAAATAAACAGTTTTGATTGAGGCCCAAGGAGAAACATAAGCAGTTTAATATGACGTATGATTGGTTAGTTAAAATTTATACGCAGAAAATAATAAACTCTTCGGAAGAGAGAATGTTTTTTGACAGTGAAATTTATGCAACTTATAAATGAAACTTTTCATTTCGCTGCAGTAAATCTGAACGCATAAAATAACTTGCGTTAATTATTTATACCCCTATTAGCTGTTATCCCTTTCATTTTGGAAAAGTTTCACATCTGCTACGATAAAGAATTCTCTTCCAATATGTTAAGCTGTGGCTATGGAAGTTAATATCAGATGTTAGGCACTAATTACAACGAAAAAAAATGAAGCCGCATTAACAGACGAAGATCAAAATCAAAGCATGTTACTTGAGATGTTTTCATTGTAATTATATAAATAGATTTACAGATAATTTAGTAAAAACGTTATAAAAATTTAATACAATTTTGGCATTATAAATTTAGAAGAGATGTTCAAGTTGTAGAGTTTAGTATTCTCGGCAATCAACTGAAGTATAATTCTTGGTAGAGGGGAAGCAAGTTATGACTAAGTAGTAACTGAAACTGGAGAAGGGTGTAAAAGACACTTTATTGAAACTAAATAAGAACAGAAGACCAACTTGCACTTACAACTAAGCCAACCACTAGCGGTGAGATAACTTAAAGTAACAGTAAGTAAAATTTGAAATTAAAATTAAAATAAACTAGTGTTCGAAGGCTATACAATCGATTTAACTCGAAGTTGGCCCAGAACGTAACCGGCAGGGAATTCAACTATAGACAATTATAATTTAAGTCCGAAGACAAGCACTCTTATGTAAGATAGCGACTTAGTACCTTGGGCACGACAGACAGAACACGTTCTGTCTTATAATCTCAAAACCCACACCTTAAGTAGACATGAACTAATTTGCATTCTGGCGGGAAAACGGAAAGGTAGCAATGATGACAGTACAGATTCAAAACAAAATAACTGGTTAAATAACGTAAAGGAACCTCACTAAGCAAGTTTCTCACTTGACCTTGTTCTTCCCCAGGAATTTATTTCATAATATTCATTTTAGATGATCCATCATATTCCTTCAAGCTCTTGTATTTAATTTCGTTAATAAACATCTTGCTCAGAGTTTTAATATTTTCAGTATCACAAAAGAGAGTTGCTTAAATTTCGAAAATTTTACGAGATGTTCCAGTAATAAAAAATTTATCTTTTTTTTTACTGGAAAGTTTCCAAATACCACGATTTTCTTCGTTATGTATTCAATATAAGTCGACACAGTGCTAATATATTTTTCGGTTTCTATATTTTAATGAAAAAACTTTGTTATGTTTGAGAAGACACAGAAAGTCAGAGATACAAATTAATAATAAAAATATAATACTTAAATGACATTTTATTTAAACCCTATTTTAAATCGTTAAGAAACTATTTTCTGCAACCATAATTAATTTAAGTAAAGAGAAAGAGTATGTTAATACAGCTTTTAGTTAATATTTAATTTTAACATGAAATTTGTTTTGACATAACTATGTAAACGCAGTTAATTATTGGAACTTAAAACTCATTTTAAAAACATTTTTCCTTTTTTCAAAGAGGCTAAAGGACAATTTTCATCTTATTTTTCCCCAAAATAATAAACTTCGAAATTTTTGCATGTAGTTTCACATTAGTCACTAGGAATTAAATATATATATAATATAACGAGGTTATCACTAAGTAATTTCATTTAAATTCAAATTTAGCTATCCCTTGAAAGATTATGGATTCATTAGCAATTGTATTTAATAAATATATTGCCGATTAATTCATTTCTTTCTTTTATTTCATTACAGTAAAATGCAAAATAATTTGATCTCAACAATACAGATTTCGAAGCATAATTTTTTTTTAGAACTGGAATAGCAAAACTTTTTTGTTTTCTTTTCGTTATCTCTAGAATGGTTTTGATGTGCTGGGTTTCACAGATGAAGAAAAGCTCAATATTTACAAAATCACGGCTTCAGTTATGCACTTAGGAGAGTTAAAATTTAAGCAAAGACCTCGAGAAGAACAGGCAGAAGCTGATGGAACTGAAGCAGGAGAAAAAGTTGCTCATCTTCTCGGGCTTAATGCTGCTGATTTATACAAAAATTTATTGAAGCCAAAAATTAGAGTTGGCAACGAACTTGTTACACAAGGAAGAAACAAAGAGCAGGTTTGTTATTAACATTCTTTAACTAATAGCCGATTACTTTACTTGTAATGTTCTCCAAAACTTAATAATACCGCAAGCAGTAAAATTAGGTTAGGTTAATTGTTTAAGGGAAAGGACCTGAAAGCTATTTGCCTTCTTCCTAATGTAAAGGTGGCTCGTATTCACGTTACATGCAAGGAAAACAATGAAAGTTCCTTTGCAGCCAGCCAGTTTACAGGGATTTGAAACCGAGTCGAACTATCAGTATTCAGGGATTTTGCGGCCCTATTAGGCAGTAATATCAAAGAATTTGTGTTTTTGTCATTGAGTATAAAAAAAACGGCAAAAAATATGCTGCCTCTGAGGCTTTCAAAATTTTATTTCTAATGCATACGCTTTGAAAAGATGTCAAAACAATTTAATATTTTGTAGAATTAAAGACTTTTTTCCCCTCTCACTTCTGAAAAACGGTATGCAGAATTCCTTGAGATCACAATAAGATGATTGTAGTTAACAGCTATTCTAGCATGAAAATATTTGGTAGCAAACGATTTACCTATGAAAGATCTAAACGGTCACTTTATTATCAGAAATTAAGAGGAGTGTTTTTAATAAAACTGAAACAATCTGCCGTAAACAATCCGCCTAATGTGTACATTTTATTATGTACCTGATTTGCCTTTCCATGCCAAATGAAGAGGATATGATGAAACATGCATTTAAAAAATCTCCATACTTTTATATGCTCGGAAAAAAAATGAGAATTCTAGAACGTATCAGTTGGTAGTGCTGAAATAATTTATTATTAAAAATCTTAAGACTTTTCTTTCTGTTTTTCTAGATTCAACAAACTACTTAAACGGATTTATAAGCACTGATGTGACAAAAATCATGGGATACCTCCTAATTCCGTGTCGGATCTACATTTGCCCGGTGAAGCGCAGCAGCTCGACATGGCATGGAGTCAACAAGTCGTTGAAAGTCCCTGCAAAAATATTGCGCCTTGTTGCCTCTATAGACGTCTATAATTGCGAAAGCGTTGCCGTTGCAAGATTTTGCTCACGAACTGACCTCTCGATTATGTCCCATAAATGTTCGATGGGATTCCTGTCGGTTCATTTAGGTGGCCAAACCATTCGCTGGAACTGTCCAGAATGTTCTTCAAACCAATCGCGAACAGGTATGGCCCGGTGACATGGCGCATTGACATCCATAAAAATTCCATCATTGTTTGGGTACATGAAGTTCATGAACTGCAAGTGGTCTCAAAATAGCTGAACATAACCATTTCCATTCAATGATCGGTTCAGTTGGATCAGAAGACCCAGGCTATGCCATGAAAAAACAGCCTACACCATTATGGCGCTTGCACGGTGCCTTGTTGGCAACTTGAATCCATGGCTTTGTGGGGTCTGCGCCACACTCAAACCTTACATCAGCTATTAGCAACTGAAATCGTTACTCTTTTGACCAAGCCATGGTTTTCCAGTAGTCTAGGGTCCAACCGATATAGCACGAGCCCACGAGAGGCGATGTCATTTTTTCTTTCTTTTCACCATTGACGGAACAGCTGGCCCACTGAGTTAGGTGCTTTTCAGCCTGTTTGATCCCGTCGATGGAAATAAAAATAAGTACATGAATAAACATAAATAAAGAGCTTAGTACTGTGTCCTACAGGTATTGGCCACGAAACGATGTCATTCTTTTAATAAAGGCACTCGACTTGGTCTCTGCTGCCATAGCCTATTAAAGCAATATTTCACAGTACTGTTCTACCAGACACGTCCGTCGTACGTCCCACATGGATTTCTGCGGTTGTTTCCCACAGTATTATTTGCCTGTTAATACTGACAAGTCTAAGCACACGTCGCCGGTCTTGGTCCTTAAATGCAGGCGGTAGGACTGCGTTGTCTATGATGGGAGGTTATGCCTGAATTTAGGTATTCTCGGCACATCCTTGGCACTATGGATCTCGGAATGTTGAATTCCCTAACGATTTCCGAAATGAAATATCCGATTGGGTCTAGCTCCAACTACCATTCCGCATTCAAAGTCTGTTAATTCCTGTCGTGCGGCCATAATCACATCAGAAACCTTTTAATGTAAATAATTTTAATACAAATGAAAGCCTTGCCAATGCCCTACACATTTATACTATTTTTATGCGATACTTCTATAATCTGTATATTTGCATATTTCTATTCCATGACTTTTGCCACATGAGTGTGTAAATAACTGATAACCTGATACATAATTAGATAGATGTATGAGTCACGTGGATAAATTATGTTTCGTACATAAAAACAGTGAAATATTACTCCCGCTGCCTACTAGTTTGTGCAATTACATTAATATTTGCTTTGGAATCTTTGTCAATTTTTTTTTAAACAATGCTATTGCCAAGACTGTATAACAAAATCTCATTAGTTGAAATAGCCGAGTATTTAAGTAATAAATATTTAGTGAGAATGTTTTACATTAGAAAAACATTCTAATTATCAGTTTAATGCCTATGAACTTCATTCTGCAGAATTATTACGGATTGAACTATTGCTCAAATATTCCATTTAAATTATTAAAGCAACAAATAGTTCGAAAAATATTATTAAATCATTCACGTGTTTCTAGTATATTACAGGTGTATTATGAGAAATTTAATGTTTTATCCTTTATTTTAAAGGTTGTATATTCTGTGGGAGCTCTTTCAAAAGCAATGTATGATAGATTGTTTAAATGGCTTGTCAAGAGGGTCAATGAAACTTTAGATACTAAACAGAAAAGGCAATATTTCATTGGTGTATTGGATATAGCTGGGTTTGAAATTTTTGACGTAAGTATGGTTTTGGAGAAATTTTTCATAATTTTTGTTATTTATATCTGTTAAAACAATACAAAATTATATCTAGGATTTTTGAATAAATGTCAATACTCCGAATCTAATCAATATATATATATTGATTTTGACATCTGAGCATTTTGATTACGTATGAAATCAAATTCTTGAAATTTCAAGAAATGTTATTTTTATGTACATATTTTTCTTTATTGTTTTATATTATAATCATGATCACTTCATTTTCATTATTAAACATTAAAATGTTTATTTTCGTTTAAACATTTATTTATTAAAATCATAGATTTAATTGTTGATAATATTCTTTATGTATACATGTTTCTTTCAATGCTTTATTTATTTTAACTCATTTATTTTTTTAAACCGAAAGCGCTGAAGGCATCTCTTTGTTTTTAAAAAATTCAGCTATGTTCAAGTAAAATTTCTACTCAAGAATTGGTTAAATCAGCAAAGATAATAAATAATACGAATGGTAAAAAAAAAAGAACTTTTAGTGTATGGGATTTAACGCATCTTAATCCCCCTGCCTATTTATAAAAGACCTCATCAAAGGCAACATTTAAAACATTAATAATACGAAATATAATTTTTGAGAATTCAGTCATAAAATTTAAAATCGTTATTGCTTGAAAGTTAATATATTTTGCGTTTTAATGAACTTATTTTCTGTACATATTTTTAATGTAAATAACATATCATTCTAGCTTTTGAAATATATTTAAAAGAAAAATATATTTCTATAATAATAAATAATAAAATATTTAATTTAATTAAATTTGAAAAGATATAATCACTTATCTGTTTACGTTATTTTTTAAAAATTTGTTATTTGCACCATTAACTCTTCGTATTTTTTAATAGTTCAATAGTTTCGAGCAGCTGTGTATCAACTTCACTAATGAAAAATTACAACAATTCTTCAATCATCACATGTTTGTTTTGGAACAAGAAGAGTACAAACGCGAAGGCATTGAGTGGACCTTCATTGATTTTGGTTTGGATCTACAGGCGTGTATAGATCTAATAGAAAAGGTAGGATATGTAAAAAAAAGTAATAAAAAAATAAAACTGACTAGAAACTACGCTGTTGAGGACGAAAAGAAAAAAATACATGTCTCTTACTATACACGCTTGTCTAAAATACTTTTTAATGCTTTGAAACTATCCTATACGGCGCTATGCTGCGAATGAAATCAGATTCTAACAGATGAGAAACAAGTTCTGTCATATGAGATAAGACGCATATATATCTAAGTTTTCGAAACTTAATGAGCCGAAAGTATTTACTTTCGACATCCGATTGCGTTCGAAGGTATATTTACTACAACTAGAACTATGTTTATTGTGCACTGCGCTTACTTCAATTCACTTTTTCTTTTTGCTTGCTTAATAAAATATGCACTTGCAGTTTAATGGCTTTGAGCAGCTTTGCATCAACTTTACAAATGAAAAACTTCAGCAATTCTTCAACCATCACATGTTTGTGCTGGAGCAAGAAGAATACAAGCGAGAAGGCATTGAATGGACATTCATTGATTTTGGCCTTGATTTACAAGCCTGCATTGAACTCATAGAAAAGGTAACGAAGAATGCTGCTTGCCGATAACTCAGACTTCAGCATGATGCTGTAGCTTTAAAGTCATTCGCTGTTTAGATAGCTTTCTACAATAAATTAAGAGCATTTTTAGCTTTTCATTTAATCAAACGTAGAATTTTCCTATTAAGTAGACCCTAATTTTCCAATTAAAATAGAAAAGAAGATGAAATTTTTATCTTCTCGTATAGAAACTCTTTTTTTTTTTTTTTTTAACTTCAGAAATTCTTACTGTTTTCTACGGTGTTTGTTTAGCTAGTATTTGTGTTTTTAACCTCTAAATTGTATTTGATATAGATGTAGAATACACTCGTTCCCATACTCAGTGTTTTAAATTAATGAATTATCTGCCAATATTTTCTCACATCGCATCTGAAGATGATTAACTTGGTTTAGCATTTCCAAATAACAGCCAAATAATCTGCATTATAAGTCTTCTACTTTGTGTATAGATTAGTAATACCGGATTATTGATGCCTTTCTTACTGAATTTATAAGTTTTAATTCATAGACAGAAAAAATCAGTGGGCAATTTATTAAATATAAAATAGTATTCGTAATTAAAAGTTGCTTTTCTAAATTTGATTTTACTATACAAACTTAAATTTGAGGTCAGTTCATGTTTTAAGTTTAATAAATCAGAGTCATTCAATAGTTCGGTCTACTGAGAGACATAAAAATGGCAATAAAAATTCTGAATGTAATTTAAATTTGGTATTTCATTCTTGTCACATGATACATTAAGACCCCTCTTAATGCGAGGGACACGTTTTGATAAGTTCCAGCGCTAAGCGAAATGGCATTAAAGGAGGACATCTTAACACATAAGTACTAGCAATAAGTGAAATAGGAGAAAGAATAAGAAAATTTATTAATTTTATTTTTTATTTTGTAATATTTATTTTAAATGTTACTTTATTACCTTAAGAATAGAATTATTTATTGCTAATATCAATTTTTATTCATGAAACATTTACGAAAACCAAAAAAAGAAAGGTTCAAATAAAGAAGTTATTTTTGTGATGAGGAAGATTCTTCCTCACTTCATTTTTTTTCTCCTTGGAGAAATCGTTTAGCATTGCTTGCCTTTTCCCTTCAGCAACAGGTTTTCGACATTGCATTAATGACATTTCATCTTGCGTTCGAACTTCTATTAAAATTCAAGTCATTCTTTATAAACTCTATCAGTTTATAAAGAGTTATAATTTTTGTTACAGTGGCTAAATGGTTGTTAAGACGAAAAAATGCGTTGGATGGCTTGGAGCATTATTTATCAAAAGTAAAGTTTTTTTTTTAATTCGAAATTGGCGTTTTACAAATGGCAGAATATTCGGTAAACCAGCTCTAGGTAAAGTTTTATAGCAATTCAAGCTTTTTATAAGACTCCCGATTTTGAAATTCCCTTCAATGTTTTGGGGATTTTGAAATTATAAATAAGAAGTGTTTCTTATTTAAAATTTCCATTGCGTTTCCACCCAGTAGAAGTTAGAAGTCTTAAACAATCTTTAGCAGCTTTAAATCCTAAACCAACCCAGCATTACCGATACCGCATGCAATTTCAGGGAATACCCAAACTACCGCATAATAGTGAAACATTATTAGGTGGCGTTTTTCTGAACAGAGTATTTTATCATTTTTAGCAATAAAAGAACAAATTCTAAAGCGTAGTTTTTCCTATAGTATTTATTTTTAGATTTATAGTACACTGCTAAGTTCATTGAAATAAATTTACTGAATAAACAAATACAAATAAAACAACGTATGACAGAATCATTTCAGTTTATAGAATCAAATATTTAAATTCCCCGAAATCATAATCGTTTTCATTCAACGAATTTAATGGTTTTTATTTACTACCTAATTCTTACAGTATGACTTCTTTAGTTGTAATTAAACTGATTTCTTTAGTTGTAATTAAACTGATTTCTTTAGTTGTAAATAAACTGATTGATTTGAATAATAATTTTAATCATTACAATGAACTTCCGCATAAAGTGGTTTTCAAAGCTTTCTTAAAAATTGGAGCTAATTGTTTCGTTTATTTTATGCTTAATTTTTAAGCAATCTATGCAATATTTACATGAGATAATATACGAGATAGTATCTTTTGTTTACGAGATAGTATCGTTTGTTTTTATCTTTGTGCTCATTAACATGAGTATAACGTATTATAATTTAAACAAATATTTTATTAACTAGTACGTTTGTCACTTCGTTGCAGCCCATGGGTGTCCTCTCAATTTTAGAAGAAGAATCTATGTTTCCTAAAGCAAGTGATAAAACCTTTGAGGAGAAGCTTAAAGCTAATCATCTAGGCAAATCACCTAATTTTGTAAAACCTAAACCACCCAAACCTGGACAGCAAGAAGCTCACTTTGCCATTGTACATTACGCCGGAACAGTGAGTTACATTTTAACTTTCTACTAGTACATTAACGAAGCCTTTTTATATTTAACAGAAAATTTCGGTTATTTAGTGAATATTATGATGAATAAGTTTCCTTCAGTTTTTCACTTTTCCATTTTGTCAGCTATTAAAATATTTATTCTGGCTTAAAGGTGCCTTATAATCTCTGCGGCTGGCTGGAAAAGAACAAAGATCCTCTAAATGATACGGTTGTTGATCAGTTCAAGCATGCATCAAATAAATTGCTCAATGACATCTTTGAAGATCACTCCGGTTTAGGAGTAGATGATCCCAAGAAAGGTTATTTTTTATAATTTTCTTTTTTCGCTATTTTAATAAGAATTAATTAAAGTAATCTACTTTACTCGTTTGCTTGAATATGACAAGATATATTATGATTACCTTTAATGCTTTTTTGTTTATTTATAGGTGGTGGCCGCAAGAAGGGATCTGGTTTCCAGACCGTCTCTGCGTTGTACAGGGTAGAAATTTGATAAATCTTCTTCAATTTAAATAAAAACTGTAGTAAATCTAAACTTGAAATAAATCTAAAAATAATTTTGAATTAAAAAAACAGATTAACATATTGAGTGACTTTCAGTAATTTTCATGTTTCATTATACTTTCATTATAATGCACATGTAGTGAATTATTTCTGTGCTTACTTTATACTAGAAGTGTAAAATTTCTGTATTTTATAAAAATGTTGAGAATGTTATCTTTCATTTTAATTTGTATGTTTGTGTTACTTGTTCGACTCATAAAAGAAATAGCTAATTAATTTTTGTCGTTTGTTAACGCATGTAGAGTATGAATCACTACTTTATCTTCTCTCTCTAAATGTGTTTTACGTGATGAACCTTTTTTTCATAGGAACAACTTAACAAGTTGATGACAACTCTGAGACAAACTCAACCTCATTTTGTCCGTTGTATTATTCCCAATGAAACCAAATCCCCAGGTAGATAGATATAGTATTAGTTTGCTAATTATTATGTGTATGATATGTTTGTGATACTCCCCATTATCTGAATTATTTCAGCATGCACGTTAAATATAATATACATTTACATACTACACTAAAATGTTAGATATTGTAAAAAGTATATTTACTTTAATTTTTCGATTCACTGATTTAAACGAAGCAGTTAAGGAAGTGTTAATATTAAACTTCGAACAAAGATTCAAATAAGCAAGTCAGAAATTTTCTGTTTCATAATCTCTGTTAAACTCTGTGTTTAATTAGCCCACATAGCTTTTAATAAGCAGATTAATATCTTCTAAGTCTACAAGATACACGCAAAACATTTCTGCATGCAAAATGTATTGTTATGCTATAACATAATCATTGATGTTAGCATGCTTTTAGCATCCTGCGTGCTCTGATTAAACTTTATGCATTGTGTGTATTCAGAAAAAAATTTCCTTTGTTGTCCTGTCTGTACACGGGTGACTATCTACCCATTAGTGTTTTTTCTCAAAGAAGAAGGTTTTCAACAGCTATTTCAAGCAGTAAAAATGAAGTTTTCGGTTTAATACATGTTTTGTTTTTATATTTTTTATCCTTTTATGGCCTACTTTCTTGTAATGTTTCTGAACTATTTTTCATGTAATTTTTATTCACATTTTTTGAACATTAATTTTGCTTATTAAGATGTTTTGCTTTTTGTTTGCATTATATATCTGTTTTCTGCTTTTGTTATCAAATTTTTCAGCCTAAAAAACTACTTTGCATTAAAGATGAAAAAAGCAGCATTTTCTTTTAACAAATATATAATGTAATTTTAACATCTGCTTTGCTATGCTTCTACTCAATTATTAGGAACAATTGAACAAGTTGATGACTACATTACACAGTACTGCGCCACATTTTGTTCGTTGTATTATTCCCAATGAAACAAAATCTCCAGGTAAGAATTAAATTTCGCTGTGATTTCGTTGTCTATACTTTGGAATTTATATTCATTTTATTCAGAACTAAATTTTATATAGATTTTTAAAGGTCCAAACACCTTTATAAATATTACTGAATAACATGTGATTTTGTTTTTAGCATTCAAATATGGATTGTGATGGCAAATGTGTTCTTGACTATGCATATGAAGTATTTTATAACTACAAATCTAATGACTGTCAACTAAAAATCTAATGGTCATTTATCTAATTTGAAAAATATTAAATTAATTCATTATTATTGTAATTCATAATGATACAATTAATTCCCTTTCATCACATTAAGCACTTTCATAGGCAGATGAAGGTTTTAGTGATTAATTAAATAAATCTGACTTATATATTAGACAAGTCACTTTTCATTAAAGCAAAGCAGTATTATATATTTTTTTGTGAATTAAAAAAAAAAATTTCTTTCCCGTATATTTTAAATACAGCATGTCTCAAAAAATATTTCAGGTGTAATTGATTCACATTTGGTTATGCATCAACTTACCTGCAACGGTGTATTAGAAGGCATCCGTATCTGCCGTAAAGGGTTTCCAAACCGAATGGTCTACCCAGATTTCAAACACAGGTAAAATTGTTTGTTAAATACATTTTCAGTATTTCTTTTTGCATTCGTAACAGTGACAAAATGGATTTTTTTCTTTATGAATATAAGTATTTATTTTACCAAATTTGTTTACAAATTGATCTCTTTTACTCTGTCTCTCTTCTTTTCTTTTGTTCATTTGTCTTAAAAAATATATTGAATTATTTTTCATTTTTATTTCATTTTCACTCATGCGGTATATAGAGATTGTTATACATAATATAATTCACAAAAGAAACTCAGAATTATTTTTTCTTTACAATTATGTTTTTATTATAATAATTTTTTGTCTGACATATGTAATAAGATTTGTTTGATTTGTTTTGTAAACGCGTACAGATATACAATTCTGGCTCCAAATTCCATCCCAGCGGGTTTTGTTGATGCAAAAAAAGCTACGGAATGCATTCTTACAGCTATTCAACTAGAAGCAAATGACTATAGGTTGGGACACACCAAGGCACGTATAGGAATCTACAACAAGTAGAGGACTTGTGCAAATAAATACAGCAAATTATGGCTTTTAAATTTTATGAATAACAATTTTTAAAAATATATAATTTTAAAATGCTTCATTAACTTAACAAAATGTAACAGAAAATTGACTGTTTAAATAATATTTAAATATAAATGATTGATTATTCATATAATATTAACATTAATATTAAAAGTAACATTTTTTTTAATTTATTAATTATATTTTTTCCCAATAAAAGTTTATTAAGAAAATTTAGCATAGCTTACTTACACTTCTTATGTATCCAATTGTTTTATAATATTTAGTTATTAAAATAACTTGTTTTTATTAATTTATGCTGCATGAATTTCTATAGACATTCAAGCTGCTTAGTAATCTATTAATATCCTAAAAATGTCTAACTAACCATTAGTCCTCTATAACCTGTTTGTGCCTGTCCCATAGGTCTTCAGCCCTAAACCTAGTCTAGAAAATCCACTTCCCCATTATCAAACCTACCTTTCGTTCCTCATTCCTTCTTCTAGCTTTATCTCTCTTTGAATTCTGTTCCCATCCCAATAATATGCCCTACTGTTAACAAAACCAGCCTGAAATTGGTTTACTTCAATACTTTTTAATAAAACATTTACACTTTTAATAAAGATGCAACAATCGTGTAAAAATACTTAGTTTCTTATTGTCAGTAAGTTAAAAAAATGAAATAATAGTACCTTTGCATAGCATAAAAATTATACGTAGATGGACGCCTGTACACCTTTTTTTAATTTAAAGCAGAGAAAAGATAGGTAAAAATATCAGCAACACAACTGGAGTTGATTATCGGAGAAATATGAAAATACATTTCTGCATTTTTTATTTACGGTTTTTAACAGAACTGATAAATAAAACTTTAAAAATGAAATTAAGCATTTTGAAATGTACTCAAATGTACCCAAAATCATGTACTCTATTTTGAAATATTATTTGCATTAAATATATTATATCAATATAGGAAATAAACTTAATTATGTGACGTTTTAAAGTAAAATAATAAATTATAACCTCAAAAAAATTTAGAAATTGGAAAACTTTCAAAATTATAACCTCAGAAAGGATTACGTAAGCCCCTTTAAATGATTTAAATGTTAAAAAAATTCCCCTTTAACATTTTGATGAATCTATTAAGATACTATCTATTAACACTATTAAGATACTTTATTTGAATCTGAGATAAATTACTATTTAGCAATATTAATGGTTTAAAACTTTTGATTATACCGCAAAAGAGAGAAAACAAATTTTCAGTTTCTAACCTCAGAATATTATTTTTGTAATATTTCACATTTGGCTTAAGGTAAACCCCTTATTATTTTTGTCATCTAATACTTCAAAATTGCAGCAGTTTTAAGCCATACTATAGAAAGCAAGACTGTTTTAATCGATTGCTTAAATTTTCTTCTATATTTAGCTCTAGATCAGATGGCATAAGACTATTAAAAAGTATTAGGGGTTAACTATTTTTTATTCATCTTAATTTATGTTTCTTTTACCACTCTGTTTCAATGCATGCTGTTATCCTTTCCTCAGATATACTATCCTTGCTCCTAATGCAGTTCCCAAAGGTTTTGTGGATGCAAAGAATGCTACCGAAAAGATTTTGGATGCGATAGCACTGGATCAAAATGAATTTCGATATGGTCATACAAAGGCATGTAATTTGAGTAGAGTACTTTTCCTCGCATAGCATGCTTTTTCGTGGTAGTAAAGCTAACTTAGTAAGAGGAATTTACTTCATACTAAAATTATTTACTTTATAACTTGGTTTGGTTTTAATGCAGGTAAAATAATTTGATGCATAAAATGTTTTTTCTTTAAAAACTTCAGTAACTGAAACAATCTGAGAAATTAAATCTTAATTGGATTCTAACTTACTGTCCATAATAATTTTTATTATAAATCAAAATTTATTTAAACAAAGAATAAAAGCATTTCGTTGTTTAAATTTCGATTAAAAATTTAAATTTTAACTTGAAAAAATGTTTTGAGAACTGTACTGCTTTGAATATATTACGGAAATTTAAGCGTAATGTTTTGTCTACAGACAAATGCCATAAAAATTTATCGAAATATTAATGTTCGAATTACTAATATCAGTTTCACCAAATCTGAGTTTGTAAGATATCAAATAAAATGTAGTATTTCTGATAATTAAAATAGCAGTTTAAAAAATAGCATGACATTTCTCCTGACTTGTGTTTGCCCACTTCTGCGCATTCTAACGTCGCAATCATCCAAAATCATCTCCTTTGCAAAGCAAAAGTAAGTGAGTGAAATTAAATGCCTTGCACTACAGGAAAACTTTTGTGCGTTAGTTCTCTCCCTATTCTTCTTATCCCAAATAATCTAAATGACATGGGACATAAAGTGCATCACTGACCCTTCCCCATTTTCTGGAACTACGAATTGTATACTGAAAAAAAGACTAAAAACAGTCTGAAGTTTCTTAAATTAGGTAGTGTTTTTTAAAAATGGGACATAAGTGTTGTACGTGATTTCTGTATAAAAAAAGTGATGTGTAATAATATGGATTTTATATACGCTACAAAACAGGTAAGTTTTAATAATCTTAAATTTTCACAATTTAAAGAATAATATGTACCTCTCCCAAAACTGCAAAAAGTATCCACGTGTTTCAAAAATAAAAGTATAATTGTAATAGTTATTAGTGCACTATACTCTGTAGATATACCATTCTGGCACCTAATTCCCTACCTAAAGGCTTCATTGATGCAAAGGCTGCCACAGAAAAGCTTTGTGAAGCAATAAAATTGGATCCCAATGAGTATCGTTTAGGACTCACTAAGGTATGCCTGAGAGAACTAATGAAAGTTAAATTCTGTTTTATAATTATGTCTTTTCGGCTTTGGATATTTAAGTGCTGAATGCTCTTTATTTACAACTTCTATAGCTTTGCTATTAATGTCTTTAAAGTTAATCTTCCTTTGTGTATTAAATGACTCAGAAAAACAGAGAAAATGTTTCGAGTACACACACACACATAAACAGAATACTATTTCTAAAAGCTCTGCGTTATTTTCAAAAGAATTATTTGATATCTCACAAACACTTTTCACAAATAATAACAATATTTTTGAGTAAAATAATGTATTGAGTTTATATTAATATAACTTGATTTCTTTTGAAATACTGCAAAATAATAGTAAGGATACGTTCAGAAATAGTTATGCTGTTTCATACTGGTACGCAGCTTTGCTTAATCAAGGATAACTGCACTGTATACTGCTTTTAACATCCTTTTGACCTCTATCTCACTTCTGCTTTATTTACTTTAAACTGGTAAGTTATTCTGAATGCTATTAATAAAACATTTATTTCTCAAAGCATTTTTATTAAAATTTGATATTGGAAGTAACTTAAATTTCAATTTATTTTAGAAGTCTTCTAAATTTCATTTTAATCTTACTTTTAGCAAAGAGATATTATTTAAATATCACACTGAACACCTTTACTAGCATTTTGTTTTAAATAATATATTTTTGCAAAAACAGGTATTTTTCCGAGCTGGAGTTTTAGGTCGATTAGAAGAAATGAGAGATGAGAGATTAGGAAAGATAATTACATGGCTTCAAGCTTGGATTAGGTGGTACGAATGCAAAAAAGAATTCAAGAAATTACAAGAACAAAGGTAATTACTTCATGTTTTTATTTATAATTAAAATAAGGATAAAAGTTGAAACGTTTTCTTTAATATGAGTGTTTTCATTTCTCAGAATTTAAGTTATAATAAAATAGATTATATTAATTCTCTCTACAGTATCGAAGTAATATTGATATTGTTAAATATGAATAATTTGTGAGCTAAACAACTTGTTTTATTAACGTTTATTGTATTATTAAACCATCAGAAAATTTAAAAACTGCAATTAGCGATATGTTTCTGCTAATAGCTTAAAATTATCTTCAATAACTTTAGAACAAAATGCAATCATATAGAAGTAAGTAATCGCGAATTCTTCCTGCATACACTGTTTACTTTATTCATATCCGTGTGTTTTATGTTTAAATATCTATTATATAACTTTCGAATTAAGTATTTTTAATAACGTTTACCAAAATGTTCTTTTGGAAGATTATAAAGAACTGAACATAAATTTCAATTAAAAAATTGTTATAAATTATTTAGAGAAATATTTACATTGTCAGAGCATAAATGATTAAAATTTTAGTTCGTAAAAATTAATAACATAATATATAAAAAGGACAGAAACTAAATATAAAATTCTTGTTAGATTTTATCGCATGTAAATTTTATTATCATTTTAGAATTGCACTACTTGTGATCCAAAGAAATCTACGAAAGTTTTTGCAGCTCAGGAATTGGTTATGGTGGAAGTTGTATTCTAAGGTAAAAACTTATGTTGTCATTATTCAATCAAGAAAATTATAGAAGATTATTTGTTATTTTTTTTAACTGACTGAAGTAATGGTTATGTCAGCAAATTTTCCATAATTTTCAACCTTATCACCTTTCCTATTGAATAAAATGATTTTTTTCGTAAATACGACCACAACTTTTTATAATAATAAATATGTAGAGATAATTTTTCATTTAATTTTGGTGTTATATATTGCAATTTGAATGCATTATGTAAATAAATTTTCAAATCTGGCACTGATACGAGTTATAATAACATTCAAGCATTATTTTAAATTTAAATAGTTTTTTGACAATTCTCCATTAAAAATTTCAAAAAATATGTTCTGTAAATTGTTTCATTCATTTTATAAATTGTTTTTTCATATAAACTGAGAAATATTCAGTGTACCATTAATACATTTATCAATACATTAATCTAAATGCAATGATAAAAAATTATGGAAAGTTCATAAATAAAATTCTGAAATTAATTCTCACACTGTAGGGAAATTTGTAGCACTGATTTGCAATATTCAAAGACAGGAAAAGAATCCCATTCGAAAAACATTTACGAAAATATTATATTCAACCTAACCTTAGCCATAAAACATTCAGCCTCATAAAAATATTAAAAATATAAATGAAGCGAAATTGATCTGCTGTTCGATCATATCCTTTATCATATCTTCACTTTTATCATATCTTTAAGAATAATTGCATTCTGAGAGAATGTTCAATAAAAAAAGTATTAATGATTATAATTTAGCTTGAATTAAAGAATCAAATAATTTGAATTAAGCTAGACTTTGATAGCTATATTCACTAATAGTTTTGGAAAGATTATAAAAAAATATTTAATAAAATGCAAGATACAAAATATATTATTTAAACATTTGCTTCAGTCGCGAACTGATTGGCACATTTTACCACTAACTTATTGAAGTTTTACTCTTCTCTGCATTTTTAGTAATGTCTTCATAATATTTCTACTAGTAAAATTAGCAAAACAACAACTTTATGTTTGGTGTAGATTGAGTCAAATTCTTAGAATCTGTGCCCAGCACACGGTTTTTATTTTGCTAATTTTATGTTTCATTTTGGTGTATTTCTCTTCTGTTTTGATTTCTGTTAGTGTTTTTGCTAAAGCAAACAGCGGTCTGTCAGTGTTTTAATGTTTCAGTTAATAAATGGAAATTTTTACTGCATCTTGTAAAAATAATTTAAGTTGCAGAAAGCTTTTATTGTAAAGGATAAAAAAATAAGACAGACAAACAACTACTTAAATTACTCTACGTGCTACATGAAGTTATTGGCTGTTAACGCTTTAAAAAAAAAATCAAACTTCGCTTTATGTTAAGATAAAGTTTTTTTGCTACAAATCTTCCCCCTAAATTTAGTATGATCTTAGGTTAAATCCACATGTTCAATGATGTAAGTGGTAGATACAAATAAATTAATTTATTAAGTTTAATGTTTTCAAAAATATTGAAACATTATACCTTAAAAACAGTAATATGATTTTTTTAAAGGTTAAACCACTTCTCAGTATTGCTCGAGTAGAAGATGAATTAAGAGCATTGGAAGAGAAATTGAAAGTTGAGCATGAAGCTTTAGTGAAAGAAGAAAAAGTTCGTAAGGAACTAGAAACTACAAATGTAAAACTTTTACAAGAGAAAAACGACTTATTTTTACAATTAGAGGCTGAACGTTCGAGTGCGGGTGACTTAGAAGAACGTCTAAACAGAGCATTGGCGCAAAAAGCTGATTTAGCTTGCCAGCTACAGGTAAAACAAATTCTCCAGTTTTTCTCAATAATAACGAATACAATTTAAACTTTACTATCTAATGTTTTTACTTGCTTCTTTTCTAAACTCATTAGGATGTACAAGAACGACTCACACACGAGGAAGACGCTCATACCCAGATGGCTCAAATTAAGAAAAAGTTAGAAACTGACGTTAATGCTCTGAAAAAAGAAGTCGAGGATTTGGAACTAACTATACAAAAAGTAAATATTTTTTTTACGAACGAAACTTTTCCAAAAAGAGTTAAATATTTTTATTTTACTATTTTTAATAATTTAATAATTTACTGTATGCGGTAAATATATAACTCTTAAATTTAATTGTTGGTATTTCCTTTATTCTCTAAAACTTTTCTGTTTAAAGGCTGAACAAGATAAAGCATCAAGGGACCACCAGATCAGAAACTTAAACGAAGAAATTTCTCATCAAGATGACCTAATAAACAAATTAACAAAAGAGAAAAAGCATTTACAGGAGATTAATCAAGTAATGTTTTTCAGAGATAATAAATAATTAAAATCTAAAATATTATTAGAAGAAGAAAAATTGCAGAATAGGCATGAGATTGCATGCAGAGTAATTAGAAATCAGAATGTATGTTGACTTATTACATATTTTAATATTCTCACAAATGTTAAGTACTTTTCTTAAGTGGTAATCATCAATCTGTGTATTTTTAGAAAACAGCTGAAGATTTACAAGTTACAGAGGACAAGGTCAATCATTTGAATAAGGTCAAGGTTAAATTGGAACAAACTCTAGATGAGGTCAGTATTTTTCCCTTCATTTTAAGATTATTTTATTCTTAACTAAAATCTGTTATTACATGCTTTATTGCTTGTACTTTTCATCCCAATAGTTTACCTTAAAAATATTCCAATATTTTTTATGTAAATTCCGATTTTTAAAACACCTTTATTTAGTATTCCATACACTTCATTGAATTATAGGTGTCCAAAAATTTTTATGAAGCAGCAAAACTCGGCACTAATACTTACAAATACTTAAAATACATTATGTCATTTACTTTGTATGTGTTTGACAGCTGGAAGACAGTCTTGAGCGTGAAAAGAAATGTAGAGCTGAAATGGAAAAAATGAAACGAAAAACAGAAGGAGATCTGAAGTTAGCTCAAGAAGCTTTGGCTGACCTGGAAAAAGCAAAAAAAGAGATCGAGCAGACCAGCCAAAGGTTTATTTAATATTAGAACCATAATTTTTTTCTCGTTAAATTAAATGTTTTCAATTATTATGATCTACTTAAACACTTGTATCATTAATTTATGAAAAATATTTTATTTATTAGAAAAGAGAAGGAAATGGCCAGTCTAGCAGCCAAATTAGAGGATGAACAAAGCTTGGTTGCTAAACTACAAAAGCAAATTAAGGAACTTCAGGTAACTGTGCTAATAAAAACATTCCCATAAAAAGAATTATCAGAACGAAAAAAGGCTAAAATTTCAATTAATTTTTATCATTTTACAATTTACTTATTAATTAAAAATTAATTATTTATGTATTAATTGTATTAATTTATTAGCTTTATTATTTATTAATAAACAAAAGTATTTTGCAAAATTAACTTTAAATAAAAAATTAAGGATTCGATATATTTTATTTCCTTAGGCAAGAATAGAAGAGCTTGAAGAAGAACTTGAAGCTGAAAGGCAAGCGAGAGCGAAAGTAAGTCAAAAAATTAAAAAGGGAAGAAGCCTAATGTTAAAATTCTTAAATTTGTGAAAGTGCTTCAGATTTAATTTATACCTCATAAAATGCACGAAAGACATTTTTTATTATTCTGAAGTTCATCGCATTAAAGAAAATTTTGAAAAATAAAATGTAAATGTATTTTAAGTATCATTTTGGTTTTTTGTTTTATTTAGGCAGAGAAACAAAGAGCTGATCTTGCAAGAGAAATTGAAGAGCTTAGTGAAAGACTTGAAGAAGCTGGAGGAGCAACATCAGCACAGGTAATCGATTATCTAAAAACTTAAAGATTTTTTTCTGTTTAAATAATCACAAAATCGATTCAAAAATGAGAGCATAAACATTTTATGTAAGGGAATAATATCTAATCATTCTGCTGAAACTCTGGAATTAATATTAAACAAATGAAATCAGAAACTTGAAACATATTGAAGTTTCAGATTGGCAGATACATAATTCTAACACACAGTACAACTCTAACTATCGAAATCTGCCAATACCTAACACATTTCGGATAACTAGACAGCTCAATTAAAATTTATTCTGAACCGCTTACTCTCAGGGAACATTCGGGATCATTACAAAATTGAACGCCTTCTACCGCTCTAAAATATACAATATAAAGAAATAAGAAACTCGACTTAAGTAAGTTTTAATTATTAAAAAAGAAACTGGAACTCAAAAAAGAGCTATTCCTTTGAATATGGCTGTATCAGGAATTATTTATGAAGCTGTATTAGATCAGAATCTCCATGCCTCTCTGTCCATTTACTTCATAACTATTGAGTTAGCGTTATTTGTATCATCAACATGCAAGTACTAACAAGTCTCATACTTTTTTTTAATCAAAACTTAGGATTTTTTCTAATCGCCTTCATTGGATCAATTTGCATTCCAGATATTCTTCATTACATGGCATATGTAATCGTCCAGATCATTCTGATGCGTAGTTTAACCTTCGAACTGGAGTGTTAATAATGCAGATAACTGAAATTCGAATAATCGACAATCTACTGCATTAAGAATAAGTAATAAATTTGTCTTGTGTGTTAATCATTTTATTAAATACGTTTTCAACAATACAAAAGAGCTAAACAAATCATTTTATTCGGTATCAGATTAGTTTTATTCATGTTTAAAAGTGAATAATGTTTTTCATCCGCATTTAAAATAATATAGACGGTGGCTCTCAACTTCTTTCCCCCGTGCATCTCTTTAACCATGACTAGAAGATCATTCCCCATTCTTTTCCAAGACTTAAAAAAGGCATATATAAATTTATTTAGATTTAGATTATTTTGAATGTATTTTATAACAACATATATATATAGAGAGAAAATATTGGAAAACAGCAAAACTTGAATAAAAGTCATATTTTTATATTCATAAACTAAAAGCTAAATAAAAGTTTGATCCCATTACTCCCCCCTTCAAAAAAAAAAAAAAAAAAACTATGAAATTACTCCCTGGTTGAGAACCCGTGATGTAGACAATGCTTTGGCCTTACAGTGAAAAGATAACTAGCATGCTAAGAATTTAAAGATTAAAAAAATTAAATAATCTCTCATGCGTGAAGGAATCTCAAAAAAGACAAATTTCCATATACTGTTTGATTCCTATTAAAGCATTTTTTAATATAAAATAAGTATGACTTCTATCATTCTAAAAAATGTTTAATTTTACTTTGAAATGTTAATATACCCTGCTAAATACAATCAGACGATTAATCTCAGCTTTATATTTGCTACAGGTTGAACTAAACAAAAGAAGGGAAGCTGAGATGAGTAAACTGAGACGCGACTTAGAAGAAGCTAATTTGCAACATGAACAAGTTTTATCTAATCTAAGGAAAAAACACAATGATGTTGTTGCAGAGTTGAGTGAGCAGTTAGATCAAATGAACAAACACAAAGCTAGGTAAGAATATGTATCAATAAAAAAAAGTGCCATATATAAGCATGAAAAGTAAAACGAAATCATTTTTAATCTGGAAACAATGACTTCGAATTTAATAAAAAATTAATAATCAATAAATATGTTTAAAATATATATTAATTTACTTCTTTAAACTTTAGCAAGTATAATATTCTAAAATTGTTTTCAGGAAGTATAATATTCAGTTCTTCAGCAAATGTTATATTCTAAAATTGTTTTCTAATTTAAGGTTTTTTTTTTCGTAATAACTTTCTTTAAAGCAAAATAAATTATACTTAGGTATCATTAAAAACTCCAAATCTGCATTTTTTGCCTTTTTATACCTTAAACACAAGTCCTGTGTTGATTTTCTCTGATTTTTTTCTTTCCATAAAAAGTATGCATACATGTAATATGCATACATGTAGAGATACATGTAAGGAAGTTATTGTGCAGAAGTTTTAATTCGATTTGCCTCAAATTTATTAACTTGCTGAAATGGTTGATTCTACAATCTCTAAATTTTTTTTTCTCTACATAATCTAATCATTTTGCAAATTCTTGATTTTGGTGTAGTGCTGATAGCATATCGAATCTTAACAAAGTATAAAAAATAAGACTGTTTTTTTTTCTTGCATTGATGTTTTTCATATTTGTCATGTTTTAATTTCAGGCTAGAAAAAGAAAAATTACAAATGAAAGGTGAATTAGATGATTTACGCTCCAGTGTAGACCATGTAAATAAAGAAAAAGTAAGTTGATCTTTAACTGTCGTAAATCCACAGTTATTAGTAATTGTCAACCAAATTTTACGCCTATATGCTGTTAAAATTACTCTGAACTCTCTGTTATTCGTCTTAACTAATGCCCGGTTGTGAATAAGTGAACAATCTCGTATGCTGGCAAACTACGAATTCTTCAAAATATTTGAATGAACGACATCAGCATGTTTCAAATTAGGTTTAATTAAAATGGTGAACATTTATATAGATTTCTTCTTGGAGACAATTCTTAAATCAAAAAGTTTAGCGAAGAGCTATTGCAATAATACGTGTATAATGTCGTAAAAAATGCATCACAAAAAAATGAAGTTCAAGCAATTTTTTTTTTCAAATAACATGAAACATTTTGTTCCAATTATTGTATTTTTACTTGCATTTTTAATTTTGAGAAAAAATAATTGCGCACGTATTACCCAATATAATAACATCAGTTTACATTTACTTGATTTTTTTATTTACGAAATAATTTCTCATTCCTGCTTGAAAATTAAAGTTTAAATTTGGCTTTTCTTAATAAGGCAAACGCTGAAAAGCAAGCGAAACAGATGGAAATCCAATTGATGGATTTGCAAGGAAAGATGGACGAAGCTAACCGCTCACTTGCAGATTTCGATGCCGCCAAGAAAAGGCTTACTGTTGAAAATGGTGAGCTGTTGAGACAACTTGAGGAAGCTGAAGCACAAGTTTCACAATTAACGAAATTGAAAACATCCCTAGCATCGCAACTTGATGATGCTAAACGAACTGCTGACGAAGAAAGCCGGGTAAGATTTTTATTTTATTTTCAGTCACCTAAAAAATCCCTTTCTATATATTACATCAGTTTATTTTCAAATATATTTCTCAAAGATATTACTTAAGATGATAACATATACCAATATTTCATGTAGCATATACTTCATATACAATACCTTTTATTATGTTTTATTGAAATTTTGGTCATAAGTTATCAGAAATTTATAGTGTACGTTTATCAGAGGCAAACTGTAGAAAATAGAGATTAAATATAAAAGAAGTTATGATAATACTGTTTGAAATATCAGAAACTCATTTAATCAGCGTATTCAAATTAGAAGTAAAACTAAAATTAGAAAATGAAGAATTTAGATCCATGTAAATTGTGATTTTTATAGTTACGTACAAATACTGAATTTTTAGAGTTTTCCAATAATTTTGCATGTTGGCATTTTTAACATTCAAAGTCAGTAAAAGGCCTAAATTTTAATGAATAGTGAGAAATGCAGTCAACTCAATGTCTTGGCGAATACGTTTGTAACACCAGCTTTTAAAATCGAATATTATTATCTTAACGTACAAATAATTAAACATATTTTGAAGTGACCAGTTTTGTATACTTTCATTATTCTTTGTTCTTAGATCCTTGAAAACCATGAGGCTTAATTATTTTTACTATTAACCTATAGCTTTGTTTAGAAACTATGGAACTTAACGTTATATTTTTAAATAAGAATAGGAAGTTAGTAGAGATGTGGTGACAATTTTCTACCCCTGAATCAGAAAATAAAAGTCCGGTCTTTGCACTGAACTTTTACATTCTATTTTAAAAGTTTCCTTGCAGCTATTTTTGAAATTTCAATATATCTATAAATTTACAAACTTTATAAGAATCTGCGCGTAATGTAAAATAACTTTGACCTTGGAAATTCAAGAAAATAAGAGTTTTACTTCAATTTTAACAGCTAAAGCAGAATACAAGTTGCTGTAAAGGTTTTAAATTAAATAACCAAAAATAATTAATTTTAATTCTTAACTTTCTTAATTTAATATTCCTGCTGCTCAGTTTAAGCCAAAAGATTTAAAAAGCCAGATAAATTGAATCGGAAGCAGTAAAAAGGAACTATGTGACAAAAGTAAATTTTTTATGAAGCCAAAAAAAATCGCTATCCCATTCCTCGCAAGAATGTCAGAAGACAAAACAAAATACCTGATGTGGACACCACATAGCTTCCTTGTACGGCTTATTAAATTACACACATTTTTTGCTGCTATTAGTTTAAACTTATTTCCACGAATTTCATGACAGATATAGTTTTCTAATTTTCATTGAGTCATTGCAGTTCTCACTTCGCAATAAGGCAAAAATACGTAAAACCTCAAAACATCTTTATTAAAAATTGTAAAATTTTGGAAAATCTAAAACAGTAAATACATTTAAAAGCAGTTAGAGAAACTATTTTCACATTAAAAATTAGAGTTTCTAATAAAAAAACAAGCAATTCGACCAACGGGCAGAAACATAGAATTTTCGGCACAAAAACATTTAAAGTTAGCCTTTGGTCCCACAGGGGGAAAAGGCACTGAATATGGTGCCCCAACTGAATTCATTATACTTCTATGAACTTCAAATGTAAAAAAAATAGCCTCCACTACAGGAATAACGCTACTTACTCTTTTAAACTATCAAAAATTCTACAACTATTTCATGCAAATTAACTAAAGGCATAAAAACTTTAACCATAACCTATTAATAACATACATCAATAACGTTCAAAGCAAAAAATGCACAATTTACCAAATTAATAAGAATAAAAATCTGATATGAACACCACATGACTTACTTGTACGGTCTATTAAATTATACAATTTTTTTGCTGCATTTCGTTAAAACTTATTTTCATCGAATTTCATTAGAGATATATTTCTCATTCAATCAATTCAGTTCTAACTTCGCGGCAAGGCAAAAATGCATAAAAACTCAAACCATCATCTTTAAAAATTGTAAAATACAGAAGAATATAAAACACTAAATGCAGTTAAAAAACATTTACAATTAAAATTAGAGTTTCTGCGCAAACAAGCAATTCAGGCAGCGGGCTGGAAGACATATTTTTTGGTGCTCAAAACTGAACGCTTACTTTTGGTTCCACTCGGCAAAAAGATACTGAAGTTCGTGGAAAAACTGATTTAATTCACTTTTCTACAAAAAAGATTTCAAACGTAAAAGAATTGCGACTTCGTTAGGCTTAGTAGCACTTAACAACTTTTTAATTATTGATAATTCTATACTATTGCATACAGATTAATTAAAAGCATGAAAACCTTAACCAGAACATAAGACCAACATAAATAAATAACTTTTAAAGCAAAAAAATGCACAATTTAATAACACATCAGAATAAAAATACTGATCTCCCCGAGCCTGGTTACAGATTGGGAATACATATATAAGTTTATTGAGACTGATTGCAATCAAAAAATGGACGTGCACAGTTGAATGTTATAGCAGCCCCCATATACGAAATTTCAATATTCTAAGGCTACTCGTTTTTGAGTTATGCGAGATATATACTTCCGTACGTATAGATATCACACACACACACAAAAAAAATCTCTTTTGAATCATTTGAAATCCAATTTACAATCCGTTTTGGGAAAAAGAGTCCTTTATTCTGTGCGTACGTACAGAAGTCACACAAAGACATTGTTCAAATGGATTCGAAAGCGGTCAGATGGATATTATTGTTGTAATATGATACTCGAAATTTTTCGAAATTACAATACTTCCTTTACTTCGTACAAGGAAGTAAAAATTGAGATTGATATAACTAGTTTTCAAACGTCTTCCGCCATTCTTGTCAGAAGATTTGATAGTTTTTTGTTGCTGCTGTAAATTTGACTTTTGTCATATAGCTTCTTTTTACATCTTCCGATTCAGTTAAACACACATTAAATACAGAAAAAAATGTTCTAACATCGCATTTGGATAAATATTTCTGTGCATGACATGACTAAAAGTTCAAATCGTGCACATGACAATCAGTTATTGCAAAATGCCATATTAAGATAAAATATAGAGAAATCCAAGTAGCGGTACAAGCTAAATTTCAATGTTTTCAAACAGATTTTTCACATCTAAAAATATAAGCTTGGAAAATGACTCACTTAAGTATACGTTACTTTCGCTTAAAAGTTGCAACTCGTTTACCACTGTTCTAAATTATTAGTTTCTACCTATAGAACGTTTTCAGTGTACGATTTTCAATACTAATTTAGCCATCACTCTCAAACACCTGAGGTTAAAAAAAAAGCTGATTCGCTTTACATTCTTTCACACAAAATTTTCTGCTAAATAAATAATTAAAATTAAAATATGGTTAATATTATAAAAGCAATCAATACTCTTTGATGTATTGTACTCTTTGTAATGCAAAAGATAAATATCTTTGAATATAAAATTTTTAAAAAAAGTAATTCCGCCTCTAAATTATTCTTAATGTGACAACCTACCTTATTGTCAAAAATTGACCAACTGGCGAAAATATTAAACCTTTTAACATTCAAGTATCAAATGTAATCCGAAAGAATAATGGACAGCTCATATCACATCAGAACCGCAACTGATAGCTCATATCACATCAACCCACTGGATTATAAAATTCTGCTTTAAGAATTAAGCAATAAGTATGTATTAAAAACTCTGCATTAAGCAATAAGTAGATTTTATTAATTCGCATTTAATGTTCATAATGACCAATAGGTATTCAGCCTTCGTTAACCAATCTCTTTAGAATATTAGAAATTAGGTATTTATTTTAGAGGAGGACACATAAAAAATGAACAGCGTTCTAGCCTGGATTCGCCCGGATCTCTCGATTTCTAGCAGGATGTACTTCTAATTAGATCACGGTAAAAAAGGAGAAAAATTCCTTATATGCTCTCTCATTTAAAAGGAAAGTGAGGAGGTGGGATAAATAAGCCAAATCCAAGATGTGACGAATTATCGTTGACCACATTTTTGTTCAAGGACACCCATACAGGGAACAGGTGTTTAATTCATAGCAGGAAGCATAAAACATAAGCAAAGCTTCCGATGGGATTCGAACTCCTGATCATCCAACTGCTAGCTGGACGTGCTTCCAACTGCACCGCGAAAGTACGCGGTGAGGAAGGAGAAAAATCTCTTACAAAATATAATAATATGATGCGATCTGATGTGGATTTAAATTCCGGACATCATATAGAGGAATAATGTAGAGGGGAGGAAAGGATAAGACCGGAGGGGGTATTATTTCAAATAAAGAGGAAAAATGTGTATGTCTTCAGAATTACGTTTTTGTTTGTTTATTTATAATTTTAATATTCTAAAAAAATATTATATGTATTACTTCGTTTAGGAACGAGCAGCTATTATGGGCAAGTTCCGTAATTTAGAGCACGATATGGACACACTTAGGGAACAGTTGGAGGAAGAACAAGAGGCTAAGGCAGATCTGCAAAGGCAATTAAGTAAGGTTAATGCCGAAGTCCAGCTGTGGAGAAACAAATACGAAAGTGAAGGCTTAGCTCGACTGGAAGAGCTAGAAGATTCCAAGTAAAATATTTAATTTACTCAATGTTCTTATATTTTATATCTCGACAAGATTTACATGATAAACATGCCTCTTCTTTAATTATTAGAATTTTACGTTTCCTGTAATTTATTTTGCTCGTAAAACATGATTTATTTTATTTTATTTATTTATTTATTTATTTATTTATTTATTTTTAAGGAGAAAACTGCAAGCAAAATTACAAGAAGCAGATGAAACCATTGAACAACTGAATGCCAAATGCAGTAGCTTAGAAAAAACAAAAACCAGACTTCAAGGCGAGTTGGAGGATATGTCTATAGAAGTCGAAAAGGTAAAGTTAGAAGTCATAAAGAACCGAACTTTTTCAATTAGTCACACATTCTGTGAAAACTTATTGGATTACTGAATCATTTCAGGCAAATTCTCTCGCAAATGCTTTGGAGAAGAAACAGAAATCTTTTGACAAAATAGTAGCTGAATGGAAACAACGAGTTGATGATTTAGCTGCTGAGTTAGACGCTTCTCAGAGGGAATGCAGAAATTATTCGACAGAAGTTTTCAAACTCAGAACGCAGTACGAAGAAAGCCAAGAACAATATGAATCTGTTAAAAGGGAAAACAAAAATCTCCAAGGTTTTTCAATTTTCTTTTGTTTTTGTTTTGATATCCACACATTGTGCATTTGACTGTATCATAATGAAACAGTGCTGAATTAAGTATATAACGAGTAAAAGACGTTAACATCTTTTTTTTAGTTACTGCAACAGAGCTTCCTCAGAAATTTACTTTTTAGTTAATGTATTGATTTTGAATTGCAAACTAATGTACAACTAGGAATTCTACAAGCAATAATTCAATTATTATTCCATAATGCACTTCATTTTGATAAATCATTTTATTTATCAAATTTTGAATGAAAGCATTAAAAGGAATCTGACGTGGGCACAACATGATTCCTCGTACGGCCTATTAAAATATACACACTGCATTTCATTTAAACGTTTTTTCTAGTTCATTTAGACGTTTTCATCTAACTTAATTAACGGATCCTTCAACGCAAGTTGAAAATGACATAAAAAATTTTAAATTTTGAAATAAAATATGCCAGTCAATTTTTGTCGCACGGGAGTAGAGTCAAAGTTCTTATAATTTTATTTTTTCATAACGAATATGAAGCTTTCCAAAATCTAAGTGTAGGAACCGGGAGGCCGCATTAAAAGTTAGATGTCGTTATTTGTCCAAAACTAATTTTTTTTTAATTTGACATTGCCAAAACTTGAATATTTTCGTTATTTAAAATACTTGCTGAAAATTGGAAGTACATGATTGCGATCAACGACTGCGAAAATAAAGGCAGGCTAAGAACTTTTAAGCTGGGTAAGAGGATTGGTGTATATATATGCGTTTGGTACTGCCTACTGTAATTAAAAAAGGAGGTACACAGCTAGACGTTACATCAATCTCATAAACAACATTTCAACGTTCTACGGTTAATCTTTTTTGAGTTATGCGAGAATTTTGCGTAAGTATATATACCTATATACGTCTGTACGTCTATGTGTATGTACAGACGGCACGAAGAAATCCCTTTTGAATCCATTTTACAATCTGCTTTAGAAAAAAAAATTGTCCATTTACTCTGTGCATACGTACAGACGTGCAGCAAAAACATCATCCAAATGGATTAACGAACAGTCAAAATGAATATTTTTGTTGAAATATGATATTCGAAATTTTCACGATTACAATACTTTTTTTTACTTCATGTAAAGAAGTAAAAACTTTACATTTTAACCATTAACTTTTCCTCTTAAAACTGCAGATTTTTTTAATTACTGAACTTCTGCTCATTCTTAATCAAAAACTAATAATGATCTTTTTATAAAATAGATGAAATTAAAGATTTGATGGACCAATTAGGAGAAGGTGGAAGAAATGTCCATGAGTTAGAAAAATCTCGTAAGCGCCTTGAAATGGAGAAAGAAGAGCTGCAAGCTGCATTGGAAGAAGCCGAAGCTGCACTGGAACAAGAGGAAAACAAAGTACTTCGAGCTCAATTAGAATTATCTCAAATAAGACAGGAGATCGATAGAAGATTGCAAGAAAAAGAAGAAGAATTTGAAAACACTAGGTAAGAAACTGAAATATTACTTGGAATTATTAAGATACATAACATGAATTAATGATAATTTCTTCATAATATTATATATTTACAAGAAAAATTTAATGAGTGCAAAAAGGGAAAGTATAATTTGAGAATGTTTTCTTGGATATTTTTGGAATTAAGAATTCATGAAATATTTATTTCGTTTGAAGATGGATTCGAAGCTCAGTATCATCCTTTCTGCAGTCATATAACGTTAAACAACTGCAACAACAAACTTCAAGCAACAAACAAAAAACAACGAACTTCATTATACGGATCTGTTGGTTCAGCATAATTATATTGTTTCGGTGTCAAATTTGATGATAATTACAAATTTCAAATAAAAATTTCATAGACCATAAGTGCAATATTATCTCCTTTTAATGTTTACAATAGTTTCTCTTTTGTCATTCTTTGAAATCTTCATTTAAAATTTTAAATAAAAAAAAACGAAAAAATAATATTTTGTTTGCATAAAATCAAAATTATCGATGATAATTAAACATTTTTTGAGTATTATATATATTCTATTATCTTCCATTATAAATGGTGGATAATTAAACATTTTTTTAGTATTATTATAATATTATTATCTTTATTATCTTCCATTGTAAATGGTGGATGTCATTCGTGGAAAAATGTATTCAAAGTCAGTTTTATTTAATATTTCTTACACATATAACTAAAATTATATCCTACGATTTTCAATTGAAAATTATTAATGATTGAAATTCTTTCATTTTTAACACAATTAATATTTTCAGAAAAAATCATCAACGAGCAATCGATTCCATGCAAGCTAGCCTGGAAGCTGAAGCTCGTGGCAAAGCAGAAGCTTTAAGACTGAAAAAGAAATTGGAAAGTGATATTAATGAACTAGAAATTGCTTTGGACCATGCCAACAAGGCTAATGCAGAAGCACAAAAGAATCTCAAGAAATACCAGTTGAGCTTAAAGGAGCTTCAAGCAGCATTAGAAGAAGAACAGCGTGCTAGAGATGAGTTAAGAGAGCAATATGCAATGTCTGAAAGACACTGCAATGCTCTGCATGGTGAATTGGAAGAAAGTCGACAACTTATGGAACAGGTTTGAGATCTACCCAAATTTATAAACTTGCAAAATGCTTATAAATAACATTGTCTAATATTTACTTTGCTAAATGTTGCTCAGTTTTAAATATGATATCCTTTTTTTGCAGTCCGATAGAGCCCGTAGAGCTGCTGAATCTGAATTAGCAGAATTAAGAGAACAATTGAACGAACTTACAGCAAGCAATGCTTCCTTATCTATGGCGAAGAGAAAGCTTGAAGGCGAGATGCAAGCATTACACGTAAATAATAACTTATTATATCTGAGTTTTAGTTTAATTCTAAAATGGAAATTTATTATTTAACTAACAATATCATTAAGTAATAGAATTCTTCCTTTATATGTAATTTAGCCATAAATTAAAAAATTCATATTACTTTATAATTCTAAAACTAACATCAAGAAGATGAAAAACTAATCGGAAAATTAATATTTTTCATTATTAATTTCTAATGTTAATCACTTTGCATAACGTAAGGTTCAGAATTTCGTAAAATATACATCAGCAAGAGACGTATTAAAATTTTGCTTAAGCCAAATAAAATCCAGATGTATTAGAAGAAAATATATAAAAGAAATTACGAGATATAAATAAAAAATGGTTGGAAATTCGGACATTAATATTCATTTAATACACATTGCATACATAAATTCATGTTTAACACTTTTTTTCTGTATAGGCTGATCTTGATGAAATGCTTAACGAAGCAAAGAATTCTGAAGAAAAGGCAAAGAAAGCAATGGTTGACGCTGCTCGTCTGGCTGATGAATTAAGATCAGAACAAGAGCATGCCTTGCAGCAAGAGAAAATGCGTAAAGCATTAGAACAACAAATGAAGGACTTGCAAGTTAGGTTAGACGAAGCTGAAGCTGCTGCTTTGAAAGGCGGAAAGAAAATTATACAGAAACTTGAACAAAAGGTAAATAAAAGAAATTTAAAAATTGTAATTGATTTCTATATTTAGTGGAATATTACTCAAAACGCATGTACCCTATTTTTACCTTTTAGTGCCGAATGACGATATAGCGGTGCGTATCCGATGGCACTTTCTATTCTCATTGCGAGAGAACTCAAAATAAATTTATAAAACATTATAAATGGTCTAATTTCATTGCAAAAGAATTAACTAAATTGTTTTTGGGTATTCATAATGTTTTATAGTGAGGTTATTTACAAGCACAAATTGGCAATACTTTATTCTTTCTTTATTTCCTAATATGCTGCTTTTGGAATTTTACAAATATCATTCTTAGTTTGGTTATTATGAGCTTTATCCCAAAATTTAACAAATTCCTCAAACTATTCTTCGCATAAATATAATACTTTCGCTTGGCACTAAAAGAATTAAACATAAAAAAGAATGAAAATTATGAAACCCGAAAGGTATGATGGTTAACAAAAGTTGTTCGCCTGTTGGAAAAGAAGATCTAGTTTGGCCCATGGAAATATTTGAAGTAAAAAGAAATTTTCTGGAGAATCCAAGTACCTTAAGTAAGAAGTTTCTTTCTTCTTATACTTAAGCACCTCTACGGTCTAAAATTCATGGCCAGAACACATCCTTAATAATAAAAGTGTCTTATCTCCGTAGTTTCGACCACTGAGGCCGTCTGTGATGCATCATAGCTACTGAGAAATGTCAAGCAATTAATAAAATCGAAATTCTAACGAAACGTAAAAACTCGTATTGCAATGAGAGTTTCAACGCTCTGATCCTAACAAGGAAATGGGAAAAACTTTAATATATTTTCTTTAGTAAAATGCATACTAGAATACGTTAGAGTAATTCTGTACTATATATTTTGCTAAATATAATTTCTGATACATTTTATATTACAACTGTAAAGGATTTATTCGCAGGTCAGGGAACTCGAGAATGATGTCGAAAATGAAAATAGAAAGCATGCGGAAGCTTCCAAAAATTACCGTAAGGCCGAAAGAAGACTTAAAGAAGTGCAGTTCCAGATGGAAGAAGATCGCAAAAATCATGAAAGAATGCAAGACCTTGTAGATAAACTTCAGCAGAAGATCAAAACCTACAAGAGGCAAATTGAAGAAGCTGTAAGTTATCTGAAATTGATTAATTGTATTGAATATGAACAAGTTCTGAATGATTTCTGTTATGAATATTTATTGTTCGTGAAGGTTGTAACCTTTGTTCTAAGAAATTATTATATTGCATTTTCTTAGGAAATATGTATAGGCAACATGCATTCTAACTTTATTTTCTTGAATAATTATTCATATATAAATTCTGTCCACTATTTAACCGTCCCTATTAACTTCAAGGAATAAACCAAAGACACCATATTGTAAATAGGAGAAAAAGGAATCATGGTTTATACAGAATTGCTTATAGTGTAGCTAATTTTAAATATCCTAGAAAGGTCAGGTATAAAAAATGTATTCGTTTTTGATCTATTCGTCTTTTCTAAAGTATAAAATGAATAAACCGATTTTAAACAAAGCTAAAAGTCTATGAGGACCTCAGAACTGAATATTTTATGGAAGCCTTGCAAAAAAGATAAAAAATTTCATGCAAAACCTTAAATATTGGAAATCCTACAATTATAATTTCCACTTATGATGTCAATAATGGTTTCAATTGCATATGCCTTCTGACGGTTCCGTGAAGTGAATGCACTTCCATCTTCTTCTTCTTCTTCTTCTTCTTTTTTTTTTTTTTTTTTTTTTTTTTTTTGCTTTAATTTATTAATTGTTTAGCTTATTGGAAATTAGCTCTTACATAAGCTAAATAAAACTTCTTAAGCAGCTGTTATTGTTGTTAACTGTTATAATTTATCTCGTATGGAAAATTTTTACATGACAGTTTAATTCGCAATCTTATGTCATATTTACAAAAATATTTATGTATAATTTATCAGAACTTATTGTTCACATTTATGAATGCACTCAGTTTATAGAATGCTAGGATACTTAACGTACACATTATCAGGACTTGTATTCCTTTTAATTTGTTTTGGAAACATGACGTGTCCTGACTGGACAGGGAGTTTGACTACAAGTCTTGTTATCACTTCTCATCTTGTTATCACTTCAATACTCTTAAGAAGTATTGAAGTGATAACAAGATGAGAAGGGTTTAGTTACCCTTTATTTTCCACACTAATACAGGCGCTTCCACACTTCGGGATACAAAGACCAACCACTTGTGATCTGAACGTAAAAATATAAAAACTACTAACTAACTAAAACTAAGAGTTAACTTTGAACTAGTTTAACACAATGGTCTAACGCTAAAACTGGCCTTTTAAATTATTACGTATGTAGTACGCACACTGCCGAAACTACAATACGTTTTAAATATCAAGAGGACTAAACCTCTGGCCTTAAAGGCAGACAGCAGCTGATTGAAAACTGGTGCGGAATGCAGTGGCAAGGCGACTCATTTTCCCTCTCTGACTCATGGCAAAAAGCCACAACTTGGCCACATACTTGGGCGTTAGCAAGTACAATTTGCATAAACAAGAAAACAAGTTAACGCGTTTAATTCTGGCTGGAAGTGGAAAATAGAGAGGATAGTAAAGTTTTAAAATAAAATAAACGTTACTACAACTTAAGATCCTTACAACATTAGTATTGTTAAAAATTGTGCCTGGTACACATTTGCTGTTAGAAATCCATAGGCTGCATTTTAAGTGACTGTATATTTTTAGCTCTTTAAATATACATAATTAATCAGTTAAAATGTAACTTAATTTCAAAGGTATTTATTTATTTCATTTCCATTCTTTTCATTTCATCTGGAAGGCCTTTTCTTTTTTTTAATCCTAATTTAAAATGTAGACACAATTATATTTGTCTCAGATCGAGATATGCTCCGAAATTTCAAAAATAAAACTGATAGTTATTTAATTCAAATGAACTGCAGATTAAGTATTTTAAATTAATACAATTAAATTTTCCAATTACTTCAAAAGTGACAAATGAATTTGCTGCTTTAATGGAATTCTGACTACTAACCACTGGTAACAATTCGTGATAAACAAATTTAATGACTATTATGTTTACATTTTATTTTATTTAATTCATTCATTTTTATATTTTATTTGCTTAATTTAATTTTTATTTAATTTTTATAGGAAGAGATAGCGGCATTGAATCTCGCAAAGTATCGTAAAGTGCAACAAGAACTCGAAGATGCTGAAGAACGAGCAGATATGTCTGAACAAGCCCTTGCAAAACTCAGGGCTAAAAACCGAAGCTCCGTATCATCTGGTCGCGGAATCAGCCCTGGTGTAAGTATTTAAAGCTTAAATAGTTTCTAGTATTAAAATTTATTCAATTTCCCATATTCCCGATTTTAATATGTAATTTTTCAAGAAAGAAGAAAAAGCTAAATTTTTGAGGAATTATAAAACAAGCTCTGTAAAAGAATCGCAAATGTATAATAAAAAATATATTTACATAGAACTGAAAGAATTAAATTTTCTGCATAAATTTAGAAGTTCTATCCCTCCCTTCCCTGAAAAAGCATTCTTTAGTTAATTTAAAGCTGCATAAAACTTAGATTTACGGATTTTAAAATGCTGGATATAAGTTTAAGAAATACGATACGAAGATTAATATCTTAGGGCAATATGGATAACTTAACAGCTTTAAAGTCAAGGCTTCCAAAAATAAATAAATAAATAAATAAAATCGTTGTTAAGAGAATTTACTATTTTAACTTTAAAAATTAAAGCTCAATATTAATAAAGGTCTTCGGATTTTATCTTTAAATTGAGTAATAGAAAAAATTTATAATTCGACAAATCTATGCAGTATTTCATGTTTACATGAATTTAAAGAATGAGCAGTTGTCATAAGGCATAATTCTCATTCGTTTCAATCGTTACTTAGTTAAAATAATTTTAATAAATTGATAATTATTTCAAGTTTTATAAGATTATGATACAATTATCCTCACTAGCTCTGTTAGTTTCAGAACTTAAAGATATTCAACTATTTGATTTCCGATTTTTTCTTAATAAAAAGTTATTTTATTCATTTCTGAAACAGATGCATTAATTTCAAGGCAGTGTTTAATGAATTTTAGATTTTGTTTTTCTCCTTAAATATTACTCAAGTGAGATTATTATATATGAGAAATTTTGATCCTTTATTTTATATATAGCCTATTGTGAAACCTGTTACTCGCAAAATTAAAGCATCTGATGAATAAAAATCTGACAGTTGGTGTATACTTACTTGTAGGTGAGAATTTTAATGTATTTGATTGAGCTCTGCGAATATTGATATAACGGCTTTGAAATAACAAGTTTGCCTGCATAAAATCAAAACTGCATAAAATCATCAAAATAAAACTTAGATGTGATACACAACGCATTTGCTTCTAATATGCTCTGCGTAATTAGCTACTTTTAACCGCAAACATAGGAGTGTGACTTATAAACAAAATAAATCTCTAGAATGTGCTCTTAATTTTTAATAATATAAAAAACTAGATACAGTCTTTACACAGCGTATGTTTTACCTCAGCCTCAAAGGCGAATACAAACTAAATATCGTATCAATAAATTAAGAAAATCAATATCGTAAAACTGATTTTTAAAATTTTAAACAGAAGCTTTCAAACCAGGTTCAAACTAAGTAATGCATATTTGTTTATCCCCTGCTACTTAAATTTACTAGTACAGTATTTAATATCACTTTTGAAGCAATGATGCGATTTTGTGACCCTTTAATCTAAAGCTCCTACGTTCTAGAATAAAAAAGTAATTTGAATATACGCAGTAATCAGTAGCCTCTACCACTAAATTTCAAATTCGGTTTCGAGGTATTTTTATATATTTATCTAAATTATTTTTATATAATGTAAAAGACACGTTTTCAGATTTATTCTCATTTCACGTACGTAAATATTTGGAATTTTTACTGCATGCACGTGTGAATTTAATGCGCAGTTTGAAGTCACTACTCACATTAATACTATTTAATAAAGACATGCATGAAAAAAAATATTTTGAACTCATTTCAAAACTTTTATAAAGTTTTACTGTACAAGAAACGGAAATACATTCTTGCCACTTTCTTTGATGTTTAATAGGTTCATTTAGGCATGAATAAATTTCCATACATTTGAATATGTGTTTTGATATTTACAACCTCTCATTACAAATAAAAAGGGGAAAAACTCGGAAGTTATTTTTTGCAGGAATATTTATTTCCTAAATTAAATTTACTCTAAAAATTAATTTCAGACATTCTTCTTTCATAAATTAATTTATGAATTAATTTAAGAATGAAGGATTTCATTCACAAAGCCTCCTACAAGCTGTTATTTTAAGATATGACACCCCTCTCGTGTGCGATAACACTTCAAAGTTTTTCACCTTGCCTCATTTTTCCTCCACAATCGTGACGCGTCTCTTCATCACCGCGTGTCCATCTTTTTATCCTCCACCTCATTTGAGACTATAGTTCAAGACAACGTTTATTCGTAAGCTTTCACGAAGCGAAACATGCTAAACGGAAGGCAATCGACCACCTGCCGCAGCTATCGTTATCATTGTTATTAGGCAAGCCAAACAAAAGAAAAATTAGCCTAAGGCGGCTATTCTAAAGTAACATATTACAGTTTACTAAATTCCCTAACTATTTTCTTTTAATCAGATGGATGTAGATTTTACGTACCTAATCTAATTCTTGTTCCAGATTTGTTTGAAACGGAAGAAAATATAAAAGAATTAGCTTGTAACTATAAGTAACTATAAGAAAATATAAAAGAATTAGCTGTAATCAAATCTTTTCTGCTTCATTAAAATGAAAATTATCATAATTAGCAACTAATTAATACACTACAAGTTTAATGGATTTCACTAAAATTTTTCATTTTTATTCTTTTAACGTTTTTACTTTAGAGGTAATAATTTTTTTTCAATAAAGCCTCTGTGACACATTAATTTAAATTTTTCTAAATTGAAAGTATCAATTTTTTAATACCCACTCAATGGGGTACTACTAAAATATTTCACCGGTTTTGAAAAAGGTTGAAAAATCTTTCTTGAATATTATTTGTTTCAAACTTGTTTTGAATTTAACATTTCTGTTGTTGCAATAAACGGAGAGTGGTTAGGTTATTTTGAAGTAGGAGATATGAAAAATGAGCAAGGCCGAGACTCGGACCCTGGACCTCTCGAATACCCGCAGAGTGTGCTACCGTTGCAGCACAAAGGCATGTAGAAAGCAGGGAAAAAATATATACTCCCAGAAAATACCTTATATACTGCCCCTTTTAAAGGGCGATTGAGGATTAGGCGACCCAATCGCCAAATCGTGGTGGTAGAGACATCCTACAGCTTTCGGTTCGGACTCCATTGTATAATCATTTAAGACTTTTTCAAAACAAGGAAATCGAGGAAATCCGCAATGCCTTCGAAGCTAGTAAACTAAATTGTTATGGTTATAAAGCCAGGTAAAGATGTTACTGTCAATGAAATTAAGCCAGGTAAGGAAGGAATAACATCCGTTTCTTTCTTTAAAAATTTATTCCAGAGCATTAACACATGATTAAGCTAGGATTTCTTAAATATTTTAGTTAAAACTGGAGAATTTATGGCTCTTTTATAGTGACATGTTAACCAGTATATATTTATTAGTATAACTTATAATTTTAAGTTCTTATATTTGTGAAAGTTTTATAATTATTGTTCCTGCTGATTGTAAATACATAATTCCGAACTTTTGGTTTATTATATGCTTATTTTAAAATAAATATTAAAATTATTTCTTATTTATTACCTCCTACCTCATGTTACCAGAACGCTTTCAAATAGGTGAATTTAAATATGTAACTAAAAATAAAATAATACTACATAAATATTTTAAAAATGTTTTATTCTTTTCAGCCACCTTCAAGATTCCAGTCAAAACACAATCTCACTGACTTGCCACATTCTCTCAGCCGTAATTTATATGCTCCAATGAAGTTCAGTTCTCGTGAATATTTGGATGACAGCGACCATTGAAACACAATTTGATTCTGCACTGAAGATATGTTTAGCAAGCAAAAGACATAAAAATAATTCTTAACTTCCATAACAACTCATTTTTTATTTAATTGTAAAGAAATAAAGCAACTTTTAATGTGAACAAGAAAATATGGTCTTTATTTAAATAAGTGGTGTTCAACTTGGTGCTCTCCTTATGTACTGTCTTCTATCCTGAATATTAGATTCTTTAGAAAATTATTTACCAATGTATTTTCACAAAGAAAATAAAATGTCATTTAACATAAAAATGAGAGTGTTTATTAAAAGCAATTACGCAAGCCTTGAAGCAGACAAATATTTTAAGAAAGTAAAGTGTTTTGCAATGAAGGTATAAGGCACATATAATTATCATTTTTTCAGAGTTATATTCTACCGTTAAAACTAATATGAGGCATTTTGTGGAAACTTACTTTCAAGAATAAAAAATACCATTTAGAAATGATAAAAAATAAAACAGTTAGATGAATTTCCAATTACAATCACATATAAAGCAGTAAAAATTCGTAATTTGTAAGACTTTTTTTTACTTGCCTTCCTTAAAGTAGATCTGTCTAGACTGTTTAAAACATTTTCCCAGTGATTTAAATTTTATTTATGAAGGCAGAAGAAAAGAAATTGAAATAAGAGAGAAATGAATTTCCTTTTAGCGGAAATCCACGGGATCGTGAATTTTGCCTGTTTGCGGGACTTTTCTGTTATATGGGAGTATACTGATCTCCTGCTTCGAGAAATCAGGAGTTTAGGAACTGTCCATTAATAGCCAGTATTCATTAAGCGAGGTTCGACTGCATTAATAACAAATAATTAATTTTCCTTTTAAAGTTAGATAAATTTAATTCAGCTCTAATATTCTTTTTTTAGTTCAAACGGCCGTCAGCCCAGAAGGGCTAATAGGCTGAAAATGGCATTTTGCGTCGAATCGCTTTTTAAATTGTTCCCACCAAATATCATCTCCCTATATTATATACGAATAAACTAAATAATAAAGAATCTACATGAATGTAACGCTGTTAAGGGAACATAGTGCCAGAGTATCGCTATGGTAAATAAATATTGTGAGTTTTAAAGAGTGCATTTAGTCTATTGTGTTTTATGCGCAAAGATTTAATTCAGTTCAATAAAGTTTAAAATAAAATACAGGAAAAATGCGTATAATTTAATATTCCGTGCAAAGAAGTCATGTGGTATACAGATCAATTTTTTTTACCTCTTACAAAAAAAATGTTACTAATGTAATTAAGCAAGTAGTTGTCCCTAAGAATTACAATTATATAGTCTTGGAAAATAGAGATCATTCCATTCCATTATTAAATATGAAGGATCTTCGTCACACTACGGGAAGATGGTGGCACTTACCGCATGAATTTATAAAAACGTTCATTCTTATACAAAATAACAGTTATTTAAGTTCTTACTACGCACAACTTCACAATAATTCAATTAGGAACATAATTTAAGAATTTAAAACCCTACTCTACGGGACATTCCAGCTGCCTCTGTGCTCATGTTTGTAATTCTTAAAGGAAGACAGCAATGAGCAGGCATGAGTTACTGTATTTCAAGATAACAATCAAAAGAAAGCTGCTTTTTTAATTGAATAAAACTCATAATTGGATACCACGAGATAGCACTTTCATGCGAAACAGCCATAAAAAGCCATAAAAAAATAAGGCATTTAAATTTCTTCTAAGTTTTTTACTGCATTTTTTACTATAAATTTAAAAATAAATGGTTTGAACAACTCGACTTCCTTATTCAAATGGAAAACAAATATTAAATGAAAATATTTAATAAAACAGAACAATAAGCAATAAATCAGTCCTATCAAAAATTTGCAAAGGGTTTTTGAATTCAGCTTAATCGGCAAGAATTTAGTCAAATTTTGAGTTACCGACCAGAATATGAATGTTGGTATTGAACGGATTATCGTAGGATAGTCTGCCACAAGAATATAATTTTGTTTGACCGTTAACCAATTAAACGGTTGTTTTCGGCATGTAAACATCGGTATGTAAGCTTAATCTTATAACAAAGTCAGCACCTATGATGTTTTGACTGACGTCTGCTATGATGAAAGGCTAGGTAAATGAGCGACGTAACTTTAAATTGATGTTCAAGCATTTGGTACCATATATTGATATTTTTGTGCCACTGGCGGCAAAGAGGACTAATTGCAGCAGTATTGTTTGAATGCCGACAATAACTTAGGAACGACTGATCGATGCCGGGATAAAAAGGTCATATCCGCCAGAAGAATTCGATTAATGTGGCAGTCGCAATCGGCCATTGCCAGTCTACATTTTTCGTCTGCTGGAAACTGCATGGCGAAACGAATTTTTGTGCTACAGAACCAAAGTTAGTGTTACAGAAGCAAATGTTACTGCTCAGCTTTTCATACTGTCGATAGCGTTCGTTGGACTTCACACCTTCTTTTATTTTGAGAGAAATTTTCTTAGCCTTCTCGGGAACATTTGTTTTTGCAGCTAGCCAAAGCTGTTCAAAGAGATAAGTAGAAGTTATGTCAGCACTACTGATGTTAGGAAGACTGGTAAGATCCTTAATTTCGTCTGACGTGACCGCGAGTTTTGTGAGTTCATCATTTAAAACAGCGAGGAGAAGCTTCTTGCTTTTCGGGAGGTGCGATATCCATAGGGAGTTTAGTACGGGTTCTTCAACACTTTCTCCAGCAAAATTTTGCATACGGGAAAACAATTGCGAAGGGCGTTGGTCGACAATTTCGTGCCCGTGAAGTAGTGCATGAATTTTTGACTCCTGATTCTCAGATTGTAACTCTGTTAAACATGTTTTTGAGTATTGTATCTGCCATTGAATGGGGGATGACAAAGGATATCACAAACATATTGAAGAAATAAGATTCGATTGCAGATAGCACGTGACTGAATTTAAGAATTAACACTAATTCCGGCAGTGCCAAACTGGGAATCTAAATAGGCGAACCATAAAAAAGAGTTCACTTTCCAAAATGGGAGGTACTAGACAGAAACACGTGAGACATTAAGGTTGTCTAAAATGGGTTGTGCTGGCGGATTAATTGTTAAAAAAAAAGATTTTGCTGCAATAATATATATATATATATCATATTTGCTTATCTTATGCATGAATAAAATAAGTAAACATGCAATAATTAATCACTTATGAATTCATATAACATGATACTAGTGCAAATGAAATAAATAAATAAAGTTAATGTAAACAGTTAAAAGGGTGCGAATATTATATGAATAAGGTACAAACGTCATTTACAAACACGTGCGAAATAAATGTTTAAGATAAATTTAGATGCATACAACATTAAAAAAAGAAAAGTATGCATTCTAGAGATAAGCTTAAAGCGATATTATTTAAGAACTGGCACGGCTTACCACCGAATTAACGAGAGAAATATAGGCTCAATCAGCAGCGGATTCCGTGTTAAAAAAAAGTCCCTCCTCCCAAAATTATCAAAAATGTTTTTTATCTATAATACTTATCGTAGATTTTATATAAAGATTACTCACTTTTAAAATAATGAACACGATTCTTTACAGCATGTAGCACATGTGTTTTGAATTATCTGTAGACATATTTTGATGAAGGATATACAGTGTGAAGCAAATAAAATAAGCCCAGAGAACAAAGTTCCAGATTACAAAGAAACACAGCAAAGGAAAAGGAATACAGTACTAACTTTGATTATAGCAGATACTGAAATTCACCACCATTCTCCTCTTGGGCCCTGGTCAGCAAGTTTTTGAGAGCATATAGAAAGTGGACTGCAGAAATTGCTGAGTGCCGCCTGAGATAACAACTGACTTGACTTTGTTGTAAAAGTCTTACAGTGTTAATAGTCATCCTGGCAGAAGGGAATATTTCTTCCGTGAATACATATAAGCATAGATATGTTAATTACAAACATTGTCTTGTACAAGTTACATGTGATAGTTACATAAAATCATGACAGTTATATATACATTTAAACATTATCTGAATTCATATTTACAATACTTTTACTGAGATAATCAAAGTAAACTTGTAATTCATTTACACATTGACTGGATTTTCAATATCATTTTAAATTGCTTTACAATATTATTTTTATCAAGTACATATCAATTACATTTCAATAGTTTTTCTCTTACAATCCTATTACTATTCTACGGGGTGAGCTATTTTTCTAGTGTTGATTTTCAGTTGTTGTAATACTTTGAATTGCTATTAAAATTATGCTGCGAAGATACAATTCTCAAGGGAGGGAGAGAATTTCTTAGTGCCTTGCTGAGCATAGCCTGATCACCTCTATTTTAATTTTCGTCTGCTTGTTGCCGGAGGTATTCTCCACCCATTGTGGCCAGTATTCACTGCTTGACAATTTTAAATGCATTTTATGGGTTTGTGGGCAGTTGTCACCTACCGCACCGCGTTCACGCAGTTCTGATGCTCGTTTGCCGAATCTCTTAAGATAATGTGGGAAGGGACCATGACCAGTGTAGAATTGAGTTTGTGCTCCGCTGTATGTATTAACTGAGCATGTAACTTTCGGAAACAACTTGTAGATTCTCCTCCCTGTGCTTTTCCTTTCCCATCTTTTCTGCCATTCTTTTAAAAGGCTATTGAGCGGGATTTTTTTTAAATAGCACTGCGGAACACTTACTGCGTTTTCAAGTCTATTGGAGTTATTGGCTGCAGATTTCGCAAGCACGTCAGCCGCTTCGTTGCCAGTAATACCCACATAAGCTGGAACCCAGATCAGGATAGGTCTGTCATCTGGTGAGATACTTAGAAGAATTTTCTGAATATCTTGCATCAAAGGACTCCTTGTCTTGTGCCCTCGCATGGACTGGAAACTTTAGGTAGAGTCGCTATATATGTTGACCTTTATTCCTAATTGATATTTTGCCAAATTGATGGCTACTTTTAATGCAAGAAGCTGGGTCTGAAAGACGATATTTTTGTCTGCCAGTCGTCTTTCCCGAGTTTTAACCACTTCTTCTTGGAGTACACAGTAGGCGCAGCCTGTGCCTTTCTCTGTCTTTGAGCAATCTGTATAAATAGCTAATGCTTTCTAATTTGGCGTAGTGTATTGCATGTGTATTGTGTGCGATAAATCTGTATCTGCAGGGTATCCACGTATGATCGGCTTGCGCTTCTCATAGTCCGTATGGTAGAATGTGTTTTGCCACAGAGAGAAGTTATTTTCCAGGCGCAATGTCCTTACTAATAGTGATTCTCTCTCACTAGAAGGTCCAGT